AGGCCCAGCCATGCACAAGCTACACAACACGAATGCTGTTAGGAGGTATAATATTTAGCATTTTATCCAACTACAAAATCATTAGTATTATTTTTTAGAAACTAAAGGGAGGGGAACGGTATTACATTATTAGGAATGTTGGTGATAGCCTTTTGTTTGTTTGTTTAACCAGAGCCGGCCTGCAAAAAAGCAAAAATGCATGGAGGTGGACTTCCCGCATCCCCAGCAGACAGCCATAAATGTGATTCCATGCCAGCATCTCAACCAGAAGGGGAGATATGTCATTCTACACCACAGCTACAAGCCCCTAACTCTGCAAACTCTCAGAATATGAACAATGTTTATTTGGATATGGTACAGGAATGGGAGAAGCCTATCAGGAATTTCAGGGCTGTGGAATATTATCAACGCTATAGATTTATTAATCTTGACCGAATCCAGTCTTTTGTAGATGCTATAGAGGCTGTTCATAATGTGATACAGCCTCTTTTGAATAATGTTGCTAGGGACATAGGTCCAAACGATTTTGTTCAACTACGGCTGGATGCAGAGGGGTTAAATCATCCTCTCTTTTCTCTTAGGAGGAATATCAATGATTTAAATGCTGAGGATTTTCTGACCGGTATTGAAAATCTGCTGCAAAGTAAGGCCGAGATATTGTGGGGGGGGGGGTAATTTGCAATTAGTGGTTACCGTCGTGAAGAACAAGGAGGGGGGAGGTCTTAGGAAGTTAAGCACTGTGCTGCTCACCAGAGTGCTGGAGAAAAAAAGGCAGCACCTAGTAGATTTCAATGTGGGAGGTGAATTTCTAAATATTATACCTCCTAACAGCTCAGATACTTTAAACTTTTTGCATTATTCCCTAGAGTGGCACTGTGCCCACACTATAGATAGTCCTTGACTTACGACCACAATTAAGCCCAAAATTTATGTTGTGAGACATTTTTTTAAAGTGAGTTTTGTCCCATTTTATGACCTTTCTTGCCACAGTTGTTTAGTGAATCACTGAATTGTTAATTTCACTTGGGATACTGCAACTATCATATATATTAACCAATTGCCAAGCATCCAAATTTTGATCACGTGACCATGGGGATGCTGCAATGGATGTAAGTATGAAAGTGATCATAAGTCACTTTTTTCAGTGCCATTATAGCTTCAAATGATCACTAAATGAATGGCTGTAAGTCAGCGATTTCCTTCTAGCTCAACAGCCCAATATTTCAAATAAAAAATCTTTTATGTTTTGCAACCTGAAATAGTGGCACATTTACACTGTAATAAAGTTAGTAAAAAGTTTAAGTAAGATTAATTTAACAATATATATTTATTTTTGACAAATTGAGCTAACCTTTGGTAATTACTGCATAAGTTCTGCACAGACTCTAGAATTTCAGACTAAACAGTCTATAACCCCACAGTTCCTCTCTTTCCCTCTCCCCAATTGCCCTCCTCCATTCTTCTAGCACTTTACCCCAAGATATTCTAATTAGCAAGCTAATTAAGTATGACTGGATGGCATGACATTATGTGGATATATAGATGACTAAAAATGCTCTGAAAGATTGATGATCAGTGGTTCCCCATCAATCTGGATGGAAATACTGAATGGGTACCATAAGGTTCTGTCCCAGGACCTGTACAGTTGAACATTTCTAATAATCACATAATAATAATAATAATAATAATAATAATAATAATAATAATAATAATAATAATAATAATAATAATAGTAGTAGTAGTAGTAGTAGTAGTAGTAATGGTAGTAGTAGTAGTAGTAGTAATAATAATGATGACAAGGATGGAAGGGACTTGGAGGTCATCTAGTCTAACCCCTGCTCAGGCAGGAAATGCTATACCATTTCAGACAAATGGCTGTCCAATCTCTTCTTAAAAATCTCCAGTGTTGGAGCATTCACAGCTCCCGGAGGCAGGTTGTTCCACTGATTAGTTGTTCTGTCAGGAAGTTTGGTTAATTGAGAAAGTGGAGAGAATGCTTATCAGATTTGCAGATGGCACAAAACAATATTGATAGGTACAGTACAGTCTGAAAGTAGCAGAATAAAAGTCAACAAACAGAAATACAAAATGTTCTTCATCAAGGAAACAAAAATCAAATTAACAGGTATAGAATGAAAGCTATCTTGAAATTAGTGCTCAGGAAAAGAATAATGGAATGACTCTTTTATTATTTTGCTATATGTTACAATGGTAAAAAAATACTTGCCTCTGTTTTTCTATACCCAGCCTTTGACATTGAGTATACTGAATATTGTCCAAGGACTATGACTGCAGATGATTTAATACTACCCACCAATGGGCTTTAAAATAGTCAGGTAAAAATGGTATTACATTGGTTGATAGTAATAATACCTTTTAAAAACTGTAATGCAAAATGATAAAAATCAGTTTCTATAGAACCTTGGTATTGTGACAAATACCAGTATTGTTTTTTTTAAAATATATTTTATTGGTTTTTTAATTTTAGCAAAAAGTACTTAAAACACACCGTGGTGTTTGGGTAAACAAACATTCCAAAATACAAGCATAGATAAACAGCTCAACTTAGTACATCTCTCTATCTCCTTCAAATAACATAATACATTTAATATATTCCATTTCTAAATTAAATTTCTATTACTACTAAATCTGTTTTACAACTTTGTCAGTTTACAATTACCATAATCAGATATAGTTTTACATCAACAAACTGTCACTTCGAATATCTCTTCCAGATACATTCAAACTCTTAATCAACTTAGTTAAAAAAAAAAAATGTTAAACCTTAATTATCAATTCATTACACACACTTCACCCTCCATCCAATTAGTTATCGTACCTTATCAAATCTATACTAATACAGAAGAAAAACAACTAATTAATTTAAAAACTTCAAAGTCCCACTCTAAAAAAGAGAGGAAAAAAAAGTTCAACATTTTTTCAATTCCAATACATGATTTCCATCAAAGTCAATCTATTATTCCAAAAAATGCATTCTTAGTCTAATTAAACATATATGTCAGTTTAAAATTACCATAATCAAGTATAGTTTTAAATCAACAAATTGTCACTTCGAATATCTCCTCCAGATACATTCAAACTCTTAATCAACTTAGTTAAAAAAACAATGTTAAACCTTAATTATCAATTCATTACACAAACTTCAACTTCTACCTTATCAAATCTATACTAATATACAAAAAAATCATCTAAATAATTTAAACACTTCAAAATCCCACTCTAAAAAACTCAACATTTTTTCGATTCCAGTACATTATTTCCATCAAAGTCAATCTATTATTCAAAAATATATATTCTTAATCTAATTAAACATATATATATATGCCTGGAACCAGTCCCCATAGCATTCCGGAGCTTATTAGCGTCGGGAATGAGGGAGGAGGGATGGTAACTGCTGGGAAGGATGTTGATTGTAGGACCATCAGATGCATGAAAGGTGAAACGTTGGATAGTATAAGTCAATGCAAGACATCTAATAAGGAACCTCATGGTAGAGGGATGATAGTGAGGACTATGAACAGGAAAGAGATGGAAGTGGTAAAAAATCTACTATGAGGGAGCACCCCGGTAAAAGGGGTGAGAAAATGAAACACCCCAAGGATTTGGATTGTGTGTCCGTTCGGAGTAAGATAAGGAATACTCATAATTTGCGGACACAGGAGGAGGAGAGGGAAATAAGTAGCAGTAGGTGCGCAGGTAAGGGAAGCAAGTGCAAATTGGCTATTAACACGGAGATCAAGACCGGAGCATTGATTGATCGGTCAGGACCTATAATGAGATCCATGAGTCGAACGCAAACAGCTTTGTCATCTATAAATAAACTCTCTCATTGACCTAAATGATCCCTGACGATGTTGGCAGAAGCCAACGAAAGCTTGGAATTTTATCTAATTAAAACTTTTATAGTTTTTAACCTTCCTGGTGTTCATGTATGTATGTATGTATGTATGTATGTGTGTGTGTGTGTGTATGTATATATATATATATATATATATATATATATATATATATATATATATATATATATATATATATATATATATATATATATATATATATATATGTGTAGGTCTTTGGTTGTTCGGGTTTTCTCCCGCGTAAAATTGGAAGTGTCTTGGCGACGTTTCGACGAAGTCCCATTCGTCATCTTCAGGCTGGTGTTTTCAGCTTCAGTTTCCCTTCCAATTGTTATTCTATTCTCATCCAAGATGAAAAGCGAAACTTCTTCACAGAAAAACAATGTCCAGTTGCCTCTTGAAAAAGCACCTTTGGGACAACCATGACCTTGATGACTGTGAATCTCCACGGACAGTATTTCTCAACTTTAGTCATTTTAAGCCCTATAGACTTCAACTCCCTCTCGCCTCCGACTGGGGACTTCTGGGGAGTTGACATCCACAGGTCTTAAAATAGCCAAGGTTGAGAATCACAAGCGAACAATTTTCAAATCCAACCAAGGATAGCCAAATAAGGAAGCTGGGAATTTAGAGAAAGCTGTGTTCTCAGCCCTTGCCCTAATAAATTGCCATTTGTCCACTGCCCTTCTCTCATCGCTACACATCGTACCCCGCTGATCTGTGCTGTGTATTAAAAGAAGCTGTCTTCTCACGCCGCAACTGAACTCAAGTGTACTACAATTTCGCCATCTCCTTGGATAGCTCTAAATATTTTAGCATTCAAAGAGAGCTAACCCCACCTCCTATGAAGGCTGCATTCACCTGGAAAAGCGTTATCTTTACGGATTAATCTCACAAGTACGTCGGGGACGGGAGGGGAAGAGAATATCCCCACGTGACAAGCAGGTTGCACCATTGTGGAAACGCCGTCCGACGCACCTAATCTAAAGGGAGGAAGGCAGTTCCATCTACTCGGGCCCTGAAGCGGCGGCGCATGCGCGGCTTTCCGAGTCGGCTGGTGTTTTCTTTAAGAGCGAAGCGGCTGCGCTGTTTCCTATTGGTTTTCCGTAGAACGGTAGGTAGCGGACTGTGGGCTGCTTGTGGCCGAAGCCGGGGGCGAGAAATACTCTCGCTCAGGCTCTGGTCGGCCGCGCTGGTCAACCGTGGGAAGCGGGAAAGCCAAGAGTGCCCAGTAATTAGGAGCGCGGAAGGAAAAGCGGAAGCCCAGCGTCTTTGAAAGTTGAGAGAGAACGACAGCAGCTGTTATCTCTCCCCCTTCGCTGCCGCATCTCCGCAGACCAGCTACTTCGGGAGAAGGGAACGGACGGAGGGAGCGACTGGCTTGGTCTTGGGTCTTCGAGACCTCCCCGCCTCCTTAAGCAACTCCCATAGTCTTCCCAACCTGCCACCTGTTGTCGTTATTTTGTTCCTAGTGGATTTGTCGTGTATCACTTTACTTCGCCCTCCTGACTGTCTTCTAGTCCCGGGCTAAGGGTTAAGAGCTGGAACTTATTTTTATAGAGTGCTCCCCGATCGGGGCTGCAAAATCCGGATGACCATTAGATGGCAGCAAAAAAGAAAACCCTGCCTTTTCTCTATCGCCTTAATAATCTGCCGGATTTCTGCACCCTAGATCTGGTTTTGCTGGCTGCAGCTTCTGCTCCCTGTTCTCCAAATACAATTTTGACAGTTGCTTCAAGTTCAGAAAGGAGAATTATTGATGCAGAAGACCATACCTCTTGAACTTCTGTTTAGTGAAAAATGATATTGAGGAAAGAGGAAGTGCAAAGCAAGGTTAGGCCTCTATTTCCTACTTTTACATAGTAAGGAAGAATATTCAATATTCAGGTATTTTATGCAGTGATCTTGAGTTTTTTTAGTCTGTCCAAATGAGCACAGGCATTATGAAAACTTTAGTAAGTTATCTGTAATACATATATATTCTAAGACTGGAAATATTTCAGTCTCAATTATTGGCAAATAAAAATGACTCTATTCTGCCATCTGCAGGAAATTTTGAAATTGAGAAACAATTTGAAATTTCAGTAAGGAAAAGCATTAAGCAATGTTTTATTTCTTGTGGAACTGTAAGGATTAAATTATTTTGCTTTATGGATTCCGACTTCCTAATGGAGCAATTAGAATCTTATGTTTCTATTACAGGGAAGAACTGCATTTTCTAATCACGCCACCAATCTATTTGCCTACAATTTATTTTGGGTGAACAGCCTTGCTCTAGTCCAGTGATGGCAAACCTTTTAGACACCAAGTGCCCAAACTGTAACCCAAAACCCACATGAATGGGTGCTGGGTGGGCGTGGCTGCAGTGGTAACGGCAGGCTGGGTGGGACTAAAAAGTTCAATCAATTCCAACTTTGCAAGATTTTTTTTTTCCCGTGAGAGGTTGAAATTGATTGATTAATTGAATTTTTTTTTTTTTTTGCACATGGGGGCAGAGGCCTAAAGCGAAAAGGTTTTATAAAACCCAGCTGAAGGCCTAGGACTGGTGCGATGGCACACATGCCCACAAAGAGGGCTCTGCGTGCCACCTGTGGCACACATGCCATAGGTTTGCCATCACGGCTCTTTTACTTTCAGAATTCACTGCATAAATGTCTTATTTGGATGATATGTTCTGTTGGCATCACAGTATTGGAAAAATGACTGAAGCTGAGGTAAACACTGAATTGTAATTGCAACTGTAAAATTGGCTTAAAGGAATGATACTTTATACCTCTTAGAAATATTAATTTATTTTACTGGGCTTATAGGCCAGTCTAATTACAGTGTACATCTGCAATAGTATACATCCCAGTTGGTCTCAAAAACAATATACACAAAGCAAAGTTATAAAACAGCAAATAATAAAATAAAAAATGGGAAGGGAGAACATTGCACTATCAGAAGAAATAAAATTCTAGCCCCAAAGCCTCCTAAAATGACTATGCTTTAATGGTCCTTCTGAATCTCAGTAACGAAAGTCACATTTGCCTATCTGCAAGATGCTGTTTTACATGTCAGCAACTGAGAAGGTTCACTTCTAAGATACCTGGAGATAATATTTTCTAAGTGAAGAGTCACAAAGAGAGCACATTCAGCCAAATCTTAAGGGATTGATAGAAGCTATTGGGAATAAGTCCTCCAGATATTCTGATCCTGAACCATAAAGGACTTTAACTGTGACAAACAGGACCTTTCATTGTATCAAAGAGCAAATAGAAAATCAGTATAGCTTTTGAAACTGGGTATTATATAAGAAGACCAAAACATACCTTTCAAGACTGCATTCTGGACCAGATATTGATTCTGACTCTCTCCAAGGCTAGTCCCACATAGATTATATTGCAGTAATCCAGTCAGATGATGTCAAAAACATAAATGACTGTGAGTAGATCCTTCTGTTCCAAGAGGGGTCATAACTGGCATGCAAAATGGACCTCCGTAAAGGCTCCCCTGGTCACAGCTGACCCTGCTTATCAAGCATAATTTTAAAAATTTTAAGTGAACGACTCGTTTTCTGGAAGTGGTCTTTTATAGCTTTAAGGACAATTTAATATTTGTAGATGGCTGGAAATGAGCAGGTTTCTTCCATGTTTGAAGGGCTATGAAGATTGACTACAAACAGGAAAAAACAATTATGCCAAGATTTTTAGCCCTTCACTTAAATAGATTAGGTAATTACATTACCTAGGTGTCAGAAAGCACACTGGATTAAACATGCAGGTCTGGTTGTGTAGCTAAAGTGTAGAGATTCACTTACCTAGTCTGTCTCATCATGAGTGTTATATAACTTTGAAAATATTAAAAGTAAAATAAGAGATTCTGTATTTGCGCCTTCTTCCAGTCATAATTATTATTAGCCCTTAGGCAGGAATAGTATTAAAATGTTGCCATGCTAAAGGATGTTTATTTAGATCTGCTAAATGTTTTTTGAAATACTTAATGAAAACTGGTTGTTTTAAGTTTTGCTTAAACTTAAGTAACTTTTGCTCAAGGTAATCTTGCTTTCCCGCCCTGAACTGTATAATATAAGATTCGCTTTAAAATGAGATAGGTAGCAAATAAATTTAATAAAATAAAAATAAGTAATCTGTAAAAGTGTATTTTTCCTGCTATACAATTTCTTTTTCTAGGACATGATTCAATTCCCAACTTTCGATGCTGGTCATTCACATCTGGTTCATCTGTTAAGTAGAAGAAATGATACTCACCCTCCAAATGAGACCTACTGTTACAGTTCTGCGCGAGGAACTACTGTACTTCAAGGAGTAACCTTTGGTGGGGTTCCTACTGTCCTGCTGCTTGATGTAATCTGCTTTTTGGTAGGCTTGATTTATTTTTTGTAGCTGGGTGATATTTTTTCTTCCACATTGTTGCTCATGGCAATTTGAAGAGTGAATAAGTAGTTTATTTCATTTTGCTGAAATATATGTAGCTTTGAAAAGAAGGTCTGCAATATTCCCCTTTTCCTGCTCCACTAGTGAACTGTGCTGGAAAATAGGGTTTGCCCTGTTGATAGCAATTCTACTTCATTCTTTTGAGTCTGAAAACTTCCATTGTACTCTTTGCCAAGCTAAAGGTAGCATCTGTTTGAGTTTTTTTCTAATGGAATTTAATACTATTCATTATATTTTTATAATATAATACTATCTTAGCAATTATAATATTATGTAAAATGAGCATTCTTTTATCCTTTAATGCAGTGGTTCTCAACCTGTGGGTCGGGACCCCATTTGGGGTCGAACGACCATTTCACGGGGGTCGCCAAACAAGGCTGTCCGCCATTTTTTCCCCCTTTTCTTTGGCCACACCCCTGGCACCCGGTGATGTATAAGTGGTTGGGGGTCACCACAACATGGGGAACTGTATTATGGGGTCACGGCATTAGAAAGGTTGAGAACCACTGCTTTAATGCATCTTCATTACCAAATATTAGATTACTTTGTGTTCATGTTCTACTAGATTTTGAAGCTTTTATATTGTCTAAATTAAAAGAAACACAAAGTGGAGGAAACATATAATTCAGCATGAATATTGAACCTTTAATTGATTCCCTTTTTATTTTCTAGATGTTGGTGTTGATATTTTCCTTTATTAGAAGAAGATTTTGGGATTATGGTCGTATTGCATTAGTATCAGAAAGGTAAAGTTGGTGTTCTATATCCTTGTGGGTTCTGTAGAACATAATAATACCATGCTTTTTGATTGTGTAGAAATTGATCAGGTACCATAACATTTTTTGAAATATTGAGAATATATCAGTGTTCACTGTAACAAATTTATCCCTGTTGAAGTTGTTACTAAAGAATCAAACTTGAGAGGGAGGGGTAGTCAATATGCCCATAATTGGAATTTATTAAAAAATAAATAGGCATCTATATCATTGCATGAATCATGAACAGTGACTGCTATTTAAAAAGATTTAATCTTTACTGTAGAGTATATTTGGCAGGGTAAAGGGCTGAACAGGAAGGGACACTCTGGTACCTAGACCTTTTAAGATTAAAGAGTAAGAGGAATTTGAGAAGTGATATAGAGATAAATAATTTTAAAATCTTACTCTGGTCCTTTCGGGTACTGTAGTTTATATTGCTTATTTTTGTCCTTTTCTGAGCCTTAGCATCTTTTGTTATAAAAATATTTTTTTACTTCAAGTATTTTTATAATTGAATGCCTTTTTAAATAAATATTTGAAGTTTTCAACAAATATATTAGTATAAAATTCTAACATTGAAGTCTGTTGTTTTGTTTCTACTGAATCTAGGTATTATGAAGGAATTGAGTCCACTACTATTTTTGAAGAATCTGATTCTGAAGAGGTCAGTTGCCTGTTGGATTAAGCTATGATGTTTTGCTATTCATAAAATATTGCCACTTAGTATTTTTAGAAATATTTTAAAATGTAATATTTTTATAGCTCCTATCTTATTCTAATACTTTACAGACTAGTTTGTGGAAATACGGAGATTTTCTTTAAACTTTAATATTTATAGATAAAGAACCAGTGTTGTAAAGAAATGTCACTCTGCAGTTATGTAATACTTTTAAACCAGGTAAATGTAGAACTTTTAGAACTTCATTTTAGGAATGGCATCCTCAGACTTTTCTGTTTGTTTTTACTGTATATCTTTGAATATTTGTTTATCTCCAGGACATCAATATGCCCATTCCCAGAGTAACCTATTACTTTTCTGGAAGCAAATCTTCTAAACTGGAAGCAATATTAAATGCTCTACAATGGTCTGCTCCCCAAACAGCTCTGTATTAAGTAGACTACTGTGTCTGCAATAGCACAGATTGCTTCCAGCTGCAGGATTCACTTCTGAAAAATTGCTAGTATTTCTTTCCCTGAAATGGTCAGATCATTGGTATCGAAAAGAGATTTAATGTGGTTCAGGAAAGGAATTGCATGTTTTGGAAGTGGAGATCCACTTATTTTAAATCACAAAATGGTTGAAATATTAAGTAAAATTAATACCGTTTTATGATTTTCCTCTAAAATAATATAACTGATATAAATATATCTATCCAATAATGATTATGGCTGTTTCACATCATAATGGTTGCATTTTTAATTGATTTCTTTCCCAAAATCCTGTTGACTCTGAGGATTATGCATGATTAAAATGTGGAATAAAAGGCAATCTCTTTGCAGTTAGAGAAATGGGAGACACCACTATAGACTACATCTGTCCAATTATTTTATTAAATTAACTTTGTAATTATTGGGGCAATCCTATCTCTTTGGTGTTTTCCATTTCACTGAAGATTGTAAATGTGATGATCCATGAAACTTCCATTTGTCAACTTCTTTTAAATATTGGACAAGTAAAAATGATCCAAGAATATCCCTTCTCTTATTCCTAAATGGTCACAAAAGACATAATTACATTACAGGGATCCTTGGTAACACCAATTCATAATTTTTTTTTTAAATTTCTTCATACTGGTTTGGATCATTTGCTTGAGAAGTGCAGAATTTAAATTGCCTAGAGCAGTGGTTCTTAACCTGGGCGATATCGCCCCCCAGGGGGCGATTTCATTTTTCAGGGGGGCTATGGAACAAAAAGGGGCGACGCGGGGGCAAAGGAACAAAAAGGGGGCGATATGGGGGCGATGGAGCAAGAAGTTTTGGGGACACTTTTGAGACTTTTCGTACAGTGATTCGCTGCATATCTGTCGTACAAAAACATCAGATCGCTCGCTATTAGTGGATTGAATTGTGTTTTCAAATGTTCCTCCAGCTAGCTTCAGTACAGAACGCCGTACATATGTGAATACGCATTGCTTATCTTCATGCGCGTTGCGCAGCAGCCTCTACCCTTTTTATATTTCTTTTTATGTCTTAAATTTCACTTGAAATTCAATCATTAAATGTTACTGTTTTTCTTTTCGGGCATTTCACTTTCTTGCAACTGAATTTTGTTTTCAGTGGTCGTTACATTTAAGTGTCTTGAATAAATAAGATAATAATGAAATACATGTATCACGAAGTTTGGGAATAAAGTGACGGGTGGCACCAAAATTTTTCAAACAGTTGAGATATGGGAAAAAGGCTGTAAATAAATTATTTGCATCGATATGTCCTGATGACAATTTTTAAAAAAACAAAAAGTGTTTGCATAAATTGAAGAATTATTTCCTATGCTGTGATTAAGAGGTTATGTTGGGGGAGGGGGGCGATGACAACTTCCTCATTGGCTCAAGGGGGCGATTCTTTCAAAAAGGTTAAGAACCACTGGCCTAGAGCATACTACAATTGTAGCTGGAAAGAGGAAGTGGAGTCACATTTTGCAACAGAATTACTACTGATAATTATTTTTATTTATTTGTAAAATTTATTGGCCATCCATCTTACCATGGAGTAACTCTGGGCGCTTACAATATTAAAAAGATAAAACTGAGCCCTAAATAAAAAATGGGGAGGGAGGTAGTAGGATGAGAAGGGGTGAAGTGGGATCTGTTATTAATATATCAAGCACTCCTCCGTTGGAGCCTCAAGTCAACTGGCAGAGCCAGGTCTTTAAGCTTTTGCAGAAGATCAGGAGGGTTGGAGCTGACCTCACTTGGGGGGGGGGGAGAAATGTTCCAAAGGACAGGAGCAGAGAAGGCTCTTCTGGACCCCTCCAGAATACCCTGGCTGATGGGCCATGCTGGATACCTCCCCTGCTGACATGGAAGGGGAAAGCAGGGCAATCCCAGTGGGGCGAGGCGATCCCTCAGGTAGCCTGGACCCATGCCATGAAGGTCTTTAAAGGTGATTACGAACACCTTGAATTACATCAGGAAGTAAACCTGTAGCCAATGCAGTTCTTGGAGGAGTGGTGTTACATGGGCTGCCCTTGGGCTCCCAAGAACTGCCTGAGTTGTTGCACTCTGTACCAGTTGTAGCTGTTGAATGCTCTTCAAGGGTAACCCCAAGTAGAGTGCTTCCAATAGTTCATCTGTGAGATAACTGGGGCTTCAGTGACCGAGCATAGGACTTAATGCACAACTTGAAGTTGTGCAAAGGCTGTCCTAGCTGTGATTGCTATCTGCTCTTTGAGCAGGTGTTGCAAGTCCAAGAGAATCCACATGTTTCACCCCATTCAGAACTGGAGATGACAAAGTCCCAGATTATGGAGCTTCCTATGCTCAGAGCCATTTGATCTTATCAGGGTTCAGCTGAAACCTTTTGTTCTCCCATCTAGGCCTGCACAGCTTCCAGGCACTGTGAGAGGACAGCAACAGCATCATTTGGGTCACCAGGGCTAGAATATAGAGTTGGGTATTGTCAGCATATACTGCAGATACCTCAAGCCATGGTGATGGATGACCTTACCCAGAAGCTTCGTGTTAGATCTAAAAGACTGGTTTATTTTCAGAATAACAGTTCTGTAAATATTTATTTCTAGGGATTTTGTTCTTGGATGATCTCTGCTTTTCGCATGCAGTAAGTATGCACTAAAGTTGTGATCTGAATGTTTTGCTTAATATTGTTAAGAAAAACGGAAGATTATTTGCATTTTTCTCAATTTCCTTATCCCATTTGCTGACTTTTGTATGCATTAATGTTATACATTTAGTAAATAAGAACTGTAATTATTAAGGAAACCATATTGCTCTTTATAGTTTTGATGTTAATTTTAAAATACCGTATTTTAGACTCTGGTTTTTCCCTTAAAAATATGAATCTGCTACGATTCCTCTCATTAATTATTCATTCCTTGAAAAATCAGTATAACATTATACTGATTTTTCAAGGAATGAATAATTAATGATCCAATGATCCAATATTATACATGCACTAAATTACTTGATTAGGATAAAACCTATGTGCAACTTTGTATTTTGTAGCAAGAAGTGCTGTTTTATGGTTGAGTACTTTGATTAATGCTGGTGACTGACTTGTCCTTTAATTTGTGGTGCAGTAATGACGAGATTTATGAACAGTGTGGACATGATGCTATTACTTATCTCTCCTTTCAACGGCATCTCATCTGCCTCTTGACTGTGGTCAGCTTGTTGTCTTTGTGTATTATACTACCTGCAAACCTATCAGGTGACTTGCTTGGTAAGCAACTTTTTAAATTATTTGGATTCCACAGAGCAATCTGACTTAACTGTAAATGTGGTATATCAGTGACTTGGAGTGTTCTCTATTACCTAGAGTGCCCTGAAGATTGAGTGCTGTGATTCATATGAGATATTGAAATATCTAATGAGAATTATATCTTTAGTAATCAAAATGCCCTATTCTGTAATTTCATTTGCTAGATTTTGATCTCTTGAAATGACTTCGGCATCTAATATACATCATTTAAGTACAAAGTGTACTTACAATACATTCTGTATTGAATGATACATTTGTTTCGATGATGACATATTACTTTACTTCCAAGCTGTGGCAAGTGGACAATTGGACATGTACACTGACATTCAATAACTGGAATGTTCTCCTGTATTTCAAAAATTAGATTTTGATATTAAGTTTTTTATTGCTTGGGATGTTTAGTTTTGTTCATTTGAAAGAACAAAACCTAGGCTGTAGGCTAACTATTGATAATTGAAAATAAATGAATTCTGTCAATTTGTTCATTCCAAATACAGTAATTGTAGCAATTTTTTTTATTTTAAGACAATACTAAAATGGAAAAATTTTGAATTTAGAATAGTCCATATTTAGCTTTTTCAGTATATACACAGGTCTGGAATTAAGGTATTATATTTTCCTGGAAAAATATTATGCTTGTTATAGTTCAGGAAAGAAACTGAAACTGCCAAAGTTAAAATATATGTTTCTCTTTTTCTGCAATGCATAACGATTGTGAAGGTTGTAAGTAAGAAATCAGTAAGTATACAAGATAGTTTGGTTAACAATATAATATTCTAGATTGGGTTTTGTGAAATTGTTTTTTCAGTATTCCTGCATACAGTTGCTGAGATAGCATCATAGGAATTGAGATATTTACAGAATGTTATATGGTAATATATCTAGGTGTAATTCTTAATGGATAGAGAAAAAAAATATTGTTTTTTGGTCCACAGTTTCTGCTCCTTCAAGGAGAGCTATAAAACTATAGAGACCTTGTGTTCTATCTATTCCTGATATTTTAGGGGACAAAGTGGCAGAGTAAAGAGAAAAAAATTTTTTCCCCCTACTTACGTTGTTTCCAAGTTTCCAAAAGTATTACAGTATGTGGTTGTTGCAGAATTATTCAGTTTCCAAATTTCATCATTGTTCACTTGTCATAAAATTTGCCAAAGCAAGAAACACAATACTGAGAAGGAGAACCACGTTTATTGTAATGATCATTAGGTGCCTGCTTTACAAGAAACATGAATGCTGAACAATGGAAAAGCAAAGGTTTTTATTGAAGTTGGGGTCATAAAGCAGGAAGTCTGGCCAGTTTGGAGAAGCTGGACAGATCTTTGTCTCTGTAATTGGAGTGAGTTCTTTTGGTAGGAAAAGTAGACTTTTCAGATGGACAGCAGAGATGAGGAAATTCATTGTAAGGAAATGGAATGTTGAGGTCATCAGCTGATAAGAAGATGGAAGATTGGGGTTTGTCTAGGTTGCAATTTTTTTTTGTTGGGCCATGCTGTGAACTGATGGGGAGGCCTCTACTCTTTGGTCTAGATGGGACTGCAAGGGAGCTTTGTCTGGGACACAGAGGGTCAATTTGAGTCTGATGGGATTAGGCAAAAAGACATATTGGGTTTGACCTTGGGAGGGAGGGAGATGGGACGGGAAGGTGGGTAGCCTCCATTCAGTGTGCTGGGTTTACTTTTTCCACTACACAGGTATGATTCTTTCCAGTGCCTAAAGGTATACCAGCTGGTATAAATTCAGTTACTTGTACTCTTTCCTTTCCAAGGAAAAAGCACAGAAGTGTAAGGCTAATGACATCAATAAATCTTAAGGGGAAAAATGGGTAGCAGGAAGCTCCTTTATGTTTAATTCTGTGTTCTTTTCAACGTGAGCTTGGATGATATTGCTGCTGTTAGAAGAATCCTGAAACTTTAAAGTGCACATATTAATTGCTAGAAGGACAATTTATATGAAGATGATCCTCTGTATCAGAATTTAGTTCCATTTTGTTTTCTAGATTTTACTGGTTGTAGAACATTGGCTTGGTTGCTGTATTTGTCACCAGCACTTTTCTACTGCATATGTCAATAATTACAGTAATGATTTTTTTTTCCATTGGGAAGCACTCCTTTTGCTTCCTTAAGTCAGCAAAAACTATACTGGCATGACATTTTCCGGTCTGTATTGTTTCTTCTATTCTGCCTAGATTGCCTCTGTATAAAGTTACTGAATTCACTTGACGTTTATTCAGAATAATGGGTGTCAAAGTCTAGCATGTTTTCAATAACTTACGGCTACCCTTGCACAGGATAGAAATAAGGAAAAATACTATTTTAATGTTGATATTGCTAAGGATGACTTGACTCTGTCTTGGTCTTGGGTTGAAGATGAGATGAAAGTTAATGTAACAGTTATGTATCAGAAAAAAAGTAGGTAGAAATGGATAACCAAAGAAAAAATAAACATGCAGAGGAACTAGTATTGCTGAATGAAAGTCAACATGGATTTTGCAAAGGTTATCCTGTTTTATCAATTTTCTAAAAAAATTTTTAGAATGTCAACAGGCACCTGAATGGAGGTCACCCTGTCAACACAGTATACTGTATTTGAATTTTCTAAAAGCTGTTAACAAAATTTCATCAGAAGCTTGACTAACCTAGTGATCATAGGCTAATAGGGCTTGTCCTTTTATGAATGACTTGCTGGTTAAGGAGAAGAAAGGGAAGAATAGGCAGTTTTCTCACTGGAGGATAGAAAGATGTAGAGTACTTCAATTATTGTGCAAGGACATAAGTGAACATAAGCAATGAGCTATCTGAGTGAACGGATGATATCAAACTATTCAGAATATTTTAAACCAAAAATGATTTTGAAGATCTTGTGCAATATCACTTTAAATGGAGTTGATGAGCAGCCAAATGGCAAATTTGGCAAGTTCAGTTTCATTAAGTATAAAATTGAGGCATACTGCAACAAAAACCCCTAAACTTTGTATATACACTGATGGGACAGAGCGTTCATGAAACTACGATTTACGTCCACAACTGAGTCCAAAATTTCTGTTGTTAAGCAAGACAGAAATGAGTTTTGCCACATTTTATTCCCTTTCTTGCCACAGTTAAGTGAATCACTGCAGTTATTAAATTAGTAACTTGGTTGTTAAGTAAATCTGACTTCCCCATTGACTTTGCTTATCAGAAGGTCACAACATTTGATCACATGACCCTGGGCCATTGCAGCCATCATAAATATGAACCAGTCGTCAAGCATCCAAATTTTGATCATGTGACTATGTGGATGTTTCAACAGTTGTGAATGTGAAAAATGCTCATAGGTCACTTTTTTTCAGTGGCGTAACTTTGAATGGTCAGTAAATGAATGGTTGTATTCAAGGACTACTTGTAATCAGTAAGAAAATCTGGTAGTCACAGTGAGTAGTTCAATGAAGATATTGACAAGGGGTAGGGCTAATTATGAAAGGCAAATTTCATCCTAGGAATCATTACGAAAGAAATTGAAGATAGAACTATTAACATTATAATTCTGTTACAGAAATGTAGTGAGCAATTGTGTCTGGAATACTATCTATAGTTCTCATCATTTTGTTTGAACAATGTTATAATAGAGCTGGAACAAAATGTAGAAAAGGCCAACCAGTATGCCTGAGAGTTTGAATACCTTCCTTATGAGTAAAGGCTAGAATATCTGAATACACTTTGCAAAAAAGGTGACAGGTGAGCATTTTTGAGCTGCATAAAATTGAGTTTCATTTTTTTTGTCTCTTTCTTTAAAAACACTAGGACTAGGAATCATCTGATGAAGCTAATTGAAAATAGATTTAGAACAAGTTTATAGAGGACAGGTCTATCATGGGCTATTAGTCTCTTATTGGAGGCAAGGGGAAAGGGCAAAATAAGGGCCTGTATCCATTTTCTTCTTTTAGATGGATCTTGTTAGCCACTGGACTAAACTAAGATGACTCTTGATTTGATTCAGTGGAGCTATTTTATGTTAAGTTTACCTTAAAAAGCAGCAGTTATAGGATAACCAAGCTGCTGTATTTGTATAATATTTAATTATTTTCAAATAAATGAATAAAACATACTTAAAATATTATTTTCTGCCTCTTAGATAAAGATCCGTATAGCTTTGGAAGAACTACTATAGCAAACCTACGAATAGGGTAAGTAATCACAAGATGTTGGCATCCTTTATATATAGAATACTTTCCTTGAACATTCTTTACTTTTAAGTTTGGACCATATTTTTTAATCATGTAGTAGAAGAGAATGAGATGCGCTAGACATACACTGAATACAAAAATGTAATAACTACACAGTTATCAATGAGTTATCTTTGCGTCCTAGAATGTAACTGAAGTGTCATGAAACTTGAGAAATGTAATTTCCAAAGCCTAAGAGTAAAATGGAGACATATTTCCATCCCTTCCCAATAGTTGTTTTTATAGGCAGTTTTGTCTGTATATGAAGAGTGTAGTTTAAATGGACTACCAGTGGAGGAATAATATTTGAATCTGAGCTTAGCACTTTTGGAGTAAATTAAGGAATCAAATATATATAGGTAGTCCTTGATTTATGATCATTCTTTCAGTTACTGTTCAAAATTACAAACATGCTGAAAAAAATGGGCTTATGATTGATGTCCAAAATTATAGCCATTACAGCACCCCACAGTCACATGATCAAAATTTGGGTGCCATCCACCTGGCCCACCAACTGAACGCAAAGCTGTTGTAGCCTAGGAAGGCTTAGCCCCCACCAGACCCATCAGCGTGGCCTAAAGCTGTCTTCTCCAAAGGCCTTGACTTCAGCTCTAGCTCTTCCACCAATGAGTGCAGTTGTGCAGGGCAGAAAAAAAGCATCAGTGCATGTGGGGGAAACATAGATGGGTGGGAGGAGGAGTTACATTGCTCCTGCAGTCATAAGTGGTGGTGGACTGATCCATGTGCTTGAATTTTGATCATGTGATCACGAGGGCGGCGCAACAGCCATAACTTAGGCACAGGTTGTGAGTCTATTTTTTCAACACTGTCATAATTTCAGTCAAGGACTACCTGTAGAGGCACTTGCTGAATGTGACTCAGAGGTGAACAAGCAAATGAGGCCATGATAAATGTAATAAGTGCAAATATTTTGCTCCAATTATTTCATTTCTATTTTTCTGAAACATTCTACTTCACAGGAATAATCTTCTCTGGCTACATACAATTTTTGCTGTGATTTACTTGATTTTGACAGCTATCTTTATGAAACATCATGTGGGTTCCATTAAATACAAAAAAGAAAGCATAGTAAGTTTCTACAATTTAAAAAAATGCTTAATACTTGAAGAGTTAAATTAAAACCAGGAAGAGAATAGATTGTGAAAATTGCTTCTTGGCAGAATGTACTTATGCACCGGTTTCTTCATTGAGAGGGTGATGGGAGGAGGGATCTCCAATATGGGACAAACTTAATTGCCTATTCCATGATTCAGAGTCTCTCAGTGATGTAATAAAAGGTATATTCAAACTGAGAATAATGTTTCTTGCTCTCACTTCAATTTTTCCCTGTTAACAAGTCATCTAGATTTTCTCTGAGACAACTGTTTCATAAAATTGTTGCTTTTAAAACAAAATGTAATTGAAGTTTTGCAAAACTGTGTTATGTATGGAGGACAGAGAGGTCACAGTCTCCATCACCATCCCTCTTTTTAGTTAATCTGTGCTTCTGATGGGGGACTAATTTTAAAATTATGACATAAACTTGTTGCCAATTAAACAAACATAAAAATAACCATAATAAAAGTGAGTTTAGATTGAGGACAGTTGTTGGGTTTTATTTGCACATGTTAGTGTGGAGTTTTAGAGCATTTATGTTTTTGTATTGAATTATGTAAAGAAAAGTAAAAACAAAAGGCTCAAGCTGATTATAAAATCTGAATTTTCAAAGATTCCAAATTATTTGCTGTGATTACAAATCTGTACACAACTAATGATAGATAGAATTACATTTTAAATAATAGTAACTTCTGACAATAGGATGAATTTACCTGAATTTGAGATATTAGATATAAGTGTGCTATGTTTTAAATGTTTTTTTAAAGGAAAAATGCTGTTGTTTTATTTTTTAGCAAAAGATAATGAAATTTTCATCCCAAATTGACACTTCCAAGGGAATGAAGCATGCTGAGCCTAATATGAATGAGTTTAGACTTTTTTGTGCAAAACCATCCTTTCTCATTTGGGTGCTGCCAGAAGTGCATACTTCCCTATGTTTTTAATGTGCTCTTACTACGAGAATAGTGCACAAATAACATTGCTTAGAAAGGATATTGACCTAGAAGTCTATAAAATTTTACAAGAACAGATGCAGAGATAAGGATATGAAATAAAAAAGATCATTTTCAGTTGGCACTGAAGTCAATAATAGTATGCAGAAGTAGGGGGCTACATATGGAGCCAATAGTAATGGGACATGAAAATCCAGTACACTATCAACAAAAAACATAATCAGTGGTGTGTGTTTTTTTTAGTACAATCTAGTAATGGGATTTGTAGCCACCTATGGTTTGGTTAATCCCAGTCAAATTTGTGGATATCTACCAAAATATTTTGAGCTGCTGCTTTTTCTGGAGAAAGAACTAACAAAAGGCAATTACAGGGCACAATCCAGTGCTTCTCTTCCCTAAAGCACCATGATGAGAAAATCCTACTAAAACTATTTACTGTGATTAGAATGTGGACTTTTTAGACACAAAATTAAATTGCTACTACTTTTTTCCCTCTATAGAGCCAGTTTACTCTAGTAATTAAGGTACTAAGCTAGAAATTGGGAGACTCTGAGTTCTAGTCCCATCTTGGGCATGAACAGCGACTGGTTGATTTTGAGCCAGTCACTCTCTTTTAGCCCAACCCACCTTGCAAGGTTATTGTAGGGAAAATAAGAGAGGAAAGGATTATTAGGTATGTTCGCCACCTTGAGTTATTTATACAAATAATAAAGGTGGGATATAAATAAAGAAATGTTGAAAATATTTTTACATAACAAGACTGAGCAATTTTCCCCCAGGCACCATATTTGCTATCATTATTATTATTATCATCATTATCATCATCTAGCTTCTGGATGTCACATGGGATATATTAGATAATAGAATAACATCATTATGCACGAAGGGAAATATCTGTAATCTTTTTTTGTTTAACATGAAGTTTAAAGCTCAGAAATAGCTATATAAAGGCTTAATCATTTGCTTTCAAGGTTTAAATTGTCAAAAAGAAAGTGAAATAAATTGGGGTTTTGTTTTGTTTTTGCTACTGAATGTCTATATTATCTCTGTGTTCTTTAGGAACTGTAAAATGGGGGCTGTGGGGGGCTGAAGTACATCTGAAAAAAATACATAATTTTTCTGTGTCCATAGTAGCTTATTGTCTTTGTCACTCCAAATAACTTGAGGTAGAGTCAGATTCAGATCTGGTCTGCTTAGAAGGAATGCTACTTTGACTTTCTTACCTCCTGGAGCCACATTAGTCTACATAGGTATAACATGCAATGAAATCTGATAAATATCTCTAGTAACAATTTAAAAACTGAAGCCCAAATTTGATGAAATATATAAATGTATGTAGGTTAAAGAGACAACTGAAGTGAAGTCAGTCATACAATCGTACAAAGAAAGGGTTAGGAGGGACCTTGGAGATGATCTAGCACAGTGGTGGCGAACCTTTTAGAGGCTGAGTACCCAAACCGTAACCCAAAACCCATTTATCGCTGGGTGCTGGGTGGGCGTGGCCGACTGGGTGGGCATGGCCTCAGTGGTCACAGCTGACTGGGTGGGCGTGGCCACGGTGGGTGTAGCCACCTCAATGATGTTTGTGGAGAGGGATGCTTGTGGGGGCTGGGCAGGGTTGGGGGAGATCCAGGGGGTCTCTGGCAGGTGGGGCGGTGGACCGGAGGCTCGTCCTGTGTGGTGAGGCGAGGCAAGGAAGGGCGGATGAGCCAATTGCCGCGGGGCAAGGCAAGGCAGGGACTGGAGCAGCTGCTGCGTGACACCATCAGCCCCCCCCACACAGAGGCCAGCGAGCGCATGGGGCCGCCGGTGTCCGTCAGCAGCCACAGCTTCCTGCATCATGGCAGCTCCATCAGCGTGAGCGGAGACAGCCTCAGGATGGCTGGGAAGGAGCCCTCACCTGGTGCGGGTCCTATCTACAGGGTGGCTCTGATGGAGGCGACAGCTGCTAGTCTGAGCCCCTTGACTGGCCAACCACATAGAGAAGCAGGAGGCGGTGGTGGTGATCTCTGCATCACCAAGCCCGACCGGCCGCAGATCTGGAAGCAAAGCTGTGCCGACCATCCTCGTGCTGGTGGGGGCAGTGGCGGGGGAAGGTGAGCTGTGGCATACGCCCTCCCCACCCCACCCGGAGGTGCACGCAGGACAATGTGCGGCGGTGGCAAAGGTGCCCGCATGCCTGCCTGACACTATCGGCCCCCGCACACAGAGGCCAGCGAGCACATGGGGACTGACTGTGTCCATCAGCAGCCACAGCATGCTGGTTGTCCTACATAATTGTGGACTGACCACAGAGCCCCATCAGCGCGGGCAGAAATTGCTCTGGGACAGCCAGAAGGAAGCCTTTGCCTGGCCTGGGCGCATCCACTTGACAGATCTGGTGGGGACGGCTTCTGCTGCTGCTCTGACCGGTCAGCCATGATGGGAAGCAGGAGGAGGTGGAGGGGCAGTCGGAGGTCTGGAGCCGCCTCGGCGGCTCACTAGCAGCCTGACAAGGCAGCGGATTCATGCATCAACTGCCCCTTCTGCTTCCCTGCATGGCTGACCGGTCAGAGCAGCAGCAGAAGCCACCCCCATCAGATCCGCCGATGGGGCTCTGTGGCCAGTCTGCCATTATGCAGGACAACCAGCATGCTGTGGCTGCTGACAGACACCATTGGCCCCCATGCGCTTGCTGGCCTCTGTGCGTAGGGGCCGATAGTGTCAGGCAGCAGATCCAGAAGCAAAGCTCTGCCCGCCATCTTCACGCTGGCGGCGGTGGGGGAAGGCAAGATCTGGCATGCGGGCACCCTTTGCCGCTGCTGCCACATTGTCCCACGTGCGCCTCCAGGCAGGGCGGGGAGGGGAGGGAGTGTGCCACAGCTCACCTTCCCCCGCCACTGCCCCCACCAGTGCGAGGATGGTCAACACAGCTTTGCTTCCAGATCTGTGGCCGGCCAGGCTTGGCAATGCAGGGATCACCGCCGCTGCCCCCATCAGAGCCACCCTGTAGACAGGACCTGCATCAGTGAGGGGTCCTTCCTGGCCGTCCTGGGGCTGTCTCCACTCACGCCGATGGGGCTGCACTGTGGAAGGGAGATGGCAGTTCTGATTTCACTCACTCTCCCGCCAAAACTGTTCCTGTTATACGTTCCCTCACCCCACCCAGGTCTTGCAGCTGTTCCCGGACTGCGCATGCATGGAGAGGGGGAGGGGGAGGAGCCCAGCAATGCTGTGCGTGCCCACAGGGACGGCTCTGCGTGCCGCCTGTGGCACGTGTGCCATAGGTTCGGCACCACTGATCGAGTACTTCAATTTTCCTTTCAGTCTTTCTCTGTGATCAGTTCACTGAGAAACTGTTATTTTTTTATGTGTAGGTAAAGCGCACATTGTTCATAACCGGCCTTCCCAAAAATGCCAGTGCAACAACCATTGAAAATCACTTCAAGTAAGTTTTTTTTAAAAGAAAAACCTAAATTTCTTTTTTTTAATAAAAAAAAAGATTTGCAAATGTATGTTTTCTTAATTGTAATCGTTCAGTATTGAGAAATGAATACTGTAATTCTTCTATTTTCCTTGAGGATATGGGCAATAGGCAGGTGCAATCCATGGGAAGGACCAGCTTCTGTATCCTAGGCTGGATCTCTGTGACATTGGCACAGAAAATCAGAGTATTGCTCTGTACAGCTGTGTGCTTATTTTAAAAGTTTTTAGTCAGAAACAGAGTTGTACACATGGAAATAGGGAGATAATTATCTTTTTAAAACACTCCTCTCACTCCTGAGATTGCCTACCTTACTAAAAACTTTTAGTAGACTATACCACTGTATTCTGATCAGAAACCTGTGCCCTAAAATTCTCACAACTTATTTTCTATTTTTCATATAGACAGAGGGTCCAGGGTAAAGAAGATTAATCTGGCTGAATGGAAAGTATTTGATTTGCTGATATACTAATTCTCAAAGGCATTTGGGGAGATGTTCACTATGCCAGCAATTAATACTCTGGTTATAGTTCTCATATTAGCACCTCCTCCAATATCAACAAACAATAAAATCCTACATTATTTGCCAAGAACAAGCCCATTCAACTCTTGGCAGTAAAATAATATCTCATTGATCATATCATGTTCTGACTCCACCCCCTGTCGGAGCACATCTAGGAAACATGCCCAATATAATCTTTGTTAGGAAGATCTTCCATGGGACACCTAGACACAAAGAAGGCTTTGATATTGTATATTGAATATTTTGGAACAAATTTTACTAAATATGAATTTCTTCCATTATTATCAGTGGGATCAACATTTGGTATTCCTTGTTGTTACAAATAGAATTAGTAATTAAAATGTCCTCTGGAACTTGTTATAAGTTTTTTTCTCTATCTAATTTGGAATGAAAATCAAGTTGCCCAGCTATACTGATGTTAGTTTAGATATATCTATGATTGGAATTAAGAATAAAATGCTTATGATATGAAGGGAGGCAAGAAAGGTAAATTATGGAAGCAAGCTTTTCCTCTTTTGTAAGTTTGATGAAGGTATGAAAGGGGCAGAGTTCGTGTCTGATGTTGCTTTCATCATTTTGATAAAAATTTTCAGTTTTGCAGGTGATTCTGACCTGTAGTCTTTTCTGCAAGTTTTATGCTTTTCTCTAGATGTCTATTGGTTGAGGTCTTAGGCCACTTTCTTTCTCTTCTTTATGTTCAGATCTTCCCTTTAAGATTTAAACTTTGAGGGGATGTGTTAAATAAATCCAGTCTGTTCCAGGGAAAGAAAGATTCAACTTGACTGAGCCTATATGTTGGTGGGAGAGAGAGAGACTAACCTAAGAGCTTTAGAATGCTTTCCAAAGAGGACTGAAAACAAGAATTCATTAAAAAGGCCCTTTTTACCTCAAAATTATTTTTTTTAAAGAAATTAGCTTAAAGAGCTGAGTATTTGTATTTGCTTCAAAATTGGTTAACATTATACATGTTCTGTCTGATATCTCAGTATCTATTATATTGAGGCAGCCATGGATAATCAAATCATTTAAAGAAAAACTATATCCACATTTTTGGAACTGGACAAGATTAATCATTCTTCAGGTACCTCAGATGCAGTCTGAGAAAAGCAATTTTGTAACATAAGGAAAGGTGTGAGATGCTATATATTGACATAAATCTATGTCAAGCAATTTATTTAGTTGAGAAATAACAAGAGTTAATAATATAAGCAGAGAAAATGTTTCCAGTGCTTGAGTAACATCAGTGGACAATATACATAACATTTGAGAAGATGGTTTTATGCTACAATGAAAATGATTCTATGCTCTTGTTCTGGGCTGGCAACAATATTGTTTAAAATTGTTTTATAATTTTCATGTGGCCAGGATATTCAGGTATAATAATTATTGATGTATAGATATGGTTTCTGTAAGGAAAGATATAATTCTCGGTGTTACAACTATGCAATAATAAAAGTGATGAACCAAGCCTTCCTTTTTCAATTTTGGAAATGAATTTGATAAAATTTGAATTAATTCCACAACTTTTCCTTAACCTATGGAATTGCAATTACCATAATTCACAATGGGCACTAGGTTTGACTGGACTGATTGGAAATTTTGGGAAATATAGTACAATGCAGATGGAAGACACTGGGCTGAAAAATGCTGACCTAGGAAATCAATCCTCAAGTCTCATCCTTAGTAATATACTCCACAGTACAATTAGAACCACTGCAGTTTCTGAAGTGCACTGTCTTCCCATTTACTATTTCTGCCATCAGGTTAGTTTTCACAGAGCTGGCAGAGGTAGCAGATAACAGTAAATCTGTTCTGAAATATGTCAGATTTGGTCCTGTTCAAAATGGATTTGGGGCCAAACCACTTGATTTTGTACTATAAGCATATTATTTTGAAACTTTGCTTATATCTGTGATAACTTTATTTTTTTCCTTTTGCAGAGAGGCCTATCCAACTTGCATTGTGCAGGAGGTGCAGTTATGTTATGATGTAGCCAAACTCACATACCTGTCTGATGAAAGGTACCTATATTGTGGAGAAAGCATCTTTAAGTTTAAGTTTAAAATACAATATGTTAAGTGAGGGGTCCTTGGTGCTCTCTGAACTTGCTTGTTTTCTTGCAGACGTTTCATTACTGAAACTAGGTAACCTCATCAGTGCTACTGATGTTAGAACTGATGATGTTACCTAGTTTGGGTAATGAAACGTCTGCAAGAAAACAAGCAGGCTCAGAGGGCCCCTCATGTCAACCCCGTACTACAAATATTCTCCTTTATTAGTATGTTAACTACAGTATGCTTTCTGTGCCATTGTCATAAATACTGGTTGTCTGTCACCAGACTTGTAGCATCAGACCCGAGTTGTAAAACTTATTAAATACTATATATGTGCAAATACTCTATAGAGAACACATTGGGAGGACGTCATAGTAATGTTCACAATAGAAGTATTTCATTTGTTTAATGTCTGATTCTCTCAGTGAAATAATTCATACATTTTCTTTTGAATGACTCTGGTTCTAATGGAGTGTATCTATTGTGGAAGCTGCATTGTGTGTACTGAATTTATTTAGATACAAGATGGCCTGGTGCATTAAATCCAGTGCTGTTTTAAACAAGAGTCTAAGATCGTATTTTAACTTATGGTTTGATTATTTTGAATCCTAATTTTTGAAGAGAATTGCTTTCATTGGTGTCCTGTAAAAGACCCTGTTTACGACCCAAAATGTTTAAGCATGCTTTATAATATTAAAAATGATCTATTCTTAATAATTTCTAATACGATAAAAGTGTACATCCTTTCAAAAACCATTATGGTACTATAAGGACTTTGAAGGGTTTTCTTCCTAATTAGGTTCCTCTAGTTAACAGAATTGACTGCAAAGCTTAAAAGTGAATCTTATATAAATAGTATCTATATGATTATATGTATAATTAAAGAAATAGAAATATTTGGAATACCTATTATATGTGTTACCCACTTAAGTATATTGTCTATCATGTGAATATTATTTGTGAAAATGAGTACATATTTTAGATATACACTTCATTTTAATAACAAATTCCTTGCCATATCACATTTATGTATGTGTTTATACCAGAAAAAAGGCAGAGAAGAATGTGGCTTATTATACCCAACTGTTTGAGCAGAGTGGTAAAAGATATCGCATAAATACAAAGCCATGTGGTCAGTTCTTTTGCTGTAACACCAGAGCATGTGAAAGGGTAAGAAGCTGTTGTGTTTCTTAGTTAAAATGTTAAATCATTAGGTAAGGTTTAATGTTTAAAATGTTTAAAATTAGGTAAGGTTTGCCATACTTGCTTTTTAGGAAAAGACTAACAAGAATTTAAAACAGAACTGCTTTTTTAAGTTCATTCTCCCTAGCAATTATTGAATCAGATGCAGGGTCAAGTGACTTATATTCCCTAATGCTTGTCAGAGTTTATTTTTTCTAAATACACTTAGATGGTAACTTTTTTTAGACGTTTGATTTATTATTATTGAAATAACTGAGCATGAAACTACTAATCAACTAGGGAAGGAAAATAAAAAGAAACAAGTGGAACAGTGAAATAGGATTTTATATATAAACACTTGAATATTAAAAGGTAACAGCACTCTGCTTTTCAAAAGGAAGATGCTATAGATTACTATACTGGAGTTACCCAAAAATGTATAGAAGAATACGTGAAAGAAGAGGAGCTAATTCATGATAAGCCATTGGGAATGGCTTTTGTAACATTCCAGAGGATAACTATGGCCTCTCTGTGAGTGTGTATTTTTTAAATTTATTATTACTGTTAATTATTTTAAATGAAATGAAACATCAGTCTATCCCTACTATTACCTCCAATCCAAAGTAGTTCTATTAAATCCTATTTGAAGGCAATGCAAAGAAATCCCGGTGATGGTCCCGGTGATCAGCCCAGATTGGATCCCGCAACATAGAAATCCTATTAAAAGGCATCTCTGTAGTGTATATCATTGATTAGTAAAATGGATTTCTTGATTGGGCTACATTGCTTTGAATAATAGATCAATCATTACATCTTTCAGATAGTAATATTGTAAACATTTTCTTATAATATACTTTATTTGTGTGTCTTTGACTTACAACAAACCAACAAAAGTGTTTTATGACCAAACAGCACTTCTGGCTGTCATAAAATGTCTCACTGTCTCCTTCCCTCCCTGGTGATATGACCACATTTTGTGTGCTTGACAGCTGATTCACATTTATAATTGGTTGCAGCATCCCACAATCACATCATCAAATTTACAATATTTTTTGCTGGCTTTCAGCAAAAAAACATTTGGGGGAATGGATTTGGACTTCTGACCGCTTGATTCACTTAATGTCTGCTGTAAAAACAGTCATAAAATTGAGGACAACTTGTATGTACAGTCTATAAAAATATTGATTTATGCTGAGTCAACCACAAAAGCTAAAATGCTTAATTTTATTGTAGCATTCTTAAAGATTTCAATGCCTGTAAATGTCAAGGTTTTAAGTGCAAAGGAGAACCTCAACCATCAGCCTATAGCAAAGATCTTCAGATTTCCAAATGGAATATTAAATACGCTACATATCCTCAGGATGTTTGTTGGTAATATATTTTATTTTCCCCTCTTATTTCATGTGCAAAAGAAATGAAATTTGATGCCATTGTTTTTTCCAGAAGATGAATGAAATTTATCTTAGCTATTGTCTATATTATTGTCAGATTATTTAATTCTGAAGCTACAAATTGATAGAGCATCTTGAAAATACAATCTCAAAATCATTACATTGATGTCCAGAGTAAAAATATAAACTAATTTAGTGCATAGTTTTATAAATGGTTTAAGGTACAGTGTTGCTTAAAATATTGAAAATTCAAAAGATTCACAAACTTTTAAGCACCACTGTATTTTGCAGGACTTCTATATTCTGCTTCACCAATACACATGTCTTAACAGTCAAGACTGAGCATTCAAATCCTTATTTTAAACTAACGTGAAAGAAATCTAGCCAATTTTTATTTATGAGTCTAGATGAACTTTTTGTTTCTCATTTTGAACAAGCTCTGTTCCAGAGATAGAGGAATTTTTATCAGAGCTCTGTCACCTCTTGGTAAAAATTACTGCAATGGGGGCCTTGCTGGATTCTTCTGTAAAGGCAAACAAATGCTACATTGCAAAGAAACAATGTGTATATGGGGGAGGGGAGGTAGATTATTAGTTTGCATAAACAATCCCTTTGCCCATTTAATCTCCAGGTTTACCTTTCTCATTTTTACATCTTTTTATTTTAAACAAAACAGGCCATATTCTTAATACCAGTTTGGAAAATAAGCAATGTTAACTGCTGTCCTCTCTATTTTTTCTTGACAGGAATAATCTCTCAACTCAAGGACGGAATTGGTGGGGTAGATGGCTTTTTATCAATTTACTCCTTTTTGTGGGCCTCTTTTTCTTGACAACCCCTTCTATCATTATTTCAACAATGGACAAGTTCTATGTAACCAAACCTATTCAATATCTTAATGTAAGTAATGCACTATATCTGATTTTAATCATCTCTGCTTCTTTATGCACTCATAAAAGATTTAGCTCTGAGATTAAACTTAAATATCATTTTAATTTATGTAAGGCAAAGGAAAATTAGATAAGGTGAAATACAATCACATTTAATAAACACTGACAGATATTTCTCAAATATAGGCAAGCAAACCTTACCATATAAGTCCCGTCCTATATTTGTGTTCCCTGGTAACCTTCTGCCATGTTGAGATAGGAAACACAAAATTATATCCTCAGTAAATCTAACATCAATTAAAATTCTGCCTTGCCAAGGAGATAATCCCAGCACCTTTCACTTTGCATCATGCCAATCTAAGCCCTTAGACACTTCAAGAATTTGTCATGTCAGTTCCTTGCCACCAAAAGTTGTTCATCTTGTTTTAAATGATCTTGTTTGGAAGTGGTAATTACCAAGTATTTTCTTTTTGAATTGTCATCTTTGTTTTTGGATTAAGCTGCTAAGAGATTTTGATCTCTTTCCAAATCCTACCTGTTATCATTATTGTTTTTATAAGACCAATTTTATTTCAGTGGTTGTTAAGCTGATATAATAAACATATTTAGCTTGGTTGCATTCAAGGTAGTTCTACAGAACTGGTTATATTTCTCTCGATTCTTTCCTCAGAATCCTGTTATTAGCCAATTCTTCCCAACACTCCTTTTGTGGTCCTTTACAGCTTTGCTACCAACAATCGTCTATTATTCAACAGTGTTTGAATCACACTGGACAACGTAAGAATATCTTTCTTTTGGCTCATCAAATTACATTGGAGGATTTAAGAGACAGGAAAGGCAAGGGAGAATATTCAGAATTTGTAATAATGTCTATTTTTCCCACATTTTTTTCTGTACACTTCTGATTTTATCTTTACATAAACTACAAAATAATAGTTATATCAATTATTAATGTCTGTTCACATAATGTAAAGTCCCAGCTGCCGTTTCTTTAGCTTGTGTTGGCCTTTATATGTATTGAGTTCTTCCCTAGGATATCGTAATGTATCAGCATAGTATATGTCAGATCCAAGCAGTGTGGTCTTTTGCAATTGACAGAATTATTATAATTATTTGTTTATTTATGGTCCAAGAGCAAGTCACAAATTTAAAACACAGCACACTATTAATATATAAATACATAACAATACATACATATACAGATAGCCCTTGATTTATAACTGGTTGCTTAGCGACCAGTTTCAAATTTTGGGTGCTCAGTAACCAGCCCACATTTATGGCCATTTTCAGCACCCTGCAGTCATGTGACCATGATTTACAATGTTTTCACTAGAAACCAGTTTTTACTTGTCCGGCCTGGTCACATGATGCCTCACTGTAAAGTAATTGTGGGCTCAATTATGGTCATAACTTGAGGACTACCTGTATATACTTGCTTTAGGCATAGAAAAACCCTAGTGGAATTTAAGCAAAGGATAATGAGACTGAGCCAAGCTTTCTTATCTTTTACAGCAGTGGTTCTCAACCTGTGGGTTGGGACCCCATTTGGGGTCGAACGACCATTTCACGGGGGTCGCCAAACAATGCAGTCCGCCATTTTTTTTTCCCCTTTTCCTTAGCTGTGCTACTCCCTTTTATTCTATTGGCTTTTGAAAGCCAATAGAATAGACTCTCTTGAATAGAGTCTAATTCTATTGGCTTTCAAAAGCCAATAGGAATTGTCCAGGCTGCCCTGCTGAGCCCGCCAAAAGTCCCATTCTGCAAATGATGCTGCACCAGTTGAGTAGTCCTCGACTTACGACAGGTTGAGTAGTCCTCGACTTACGACCGGTTGGGGGTCGTGGCATTAAAAAGGTTGAGAACCACTGTTTTACAGCCATGTTGTTCACAATTACATACATACATACATACATACATACATACATACATACATACTCAAACTTAGAGGTTGTGTCTGTTTCATACATCCTTTTAAAATGCCCACTGTAGTTGCACTGATAATCAGAGCTAATATACCCACTCTTCAATCTGACTCTGTTCATCATGAAAAGATTGAGGTTTTCTTACTAAATGATCAATATCCAGGTGTTTTGAAGGCAATAAATTGTTTATTTATTTATTTATTTATTTTATTTATAGCTGTAGCTTATAGAAACTGCTAAACACCTTCAATGAATTGTTAATTCTATAGGTTTTTCCCCCCTTTTATATATATTGTTATGCTTGTTTGGCTATATGCATCATATTTTTACGGTTGCTCATCTCACAAAATGTATTTCATGTCCTGGCTTCAGAGAGGGGAAAAATAACCATGCAATTGGCAAGCAAAATGTAGATGTGATGCAGGTGTTTGGGGGCAAAACCTGCAGAGGCGCTGTGTAGGAATACACACACACTGTGGAAGGAGTGAAGTATTTAGGAGCAATACATTTCCAGTGAGGTTTGTAAAAACATCAGGAAAACTTGCCTGGAGAGATGGCAACAGAAGGACATTGGGAGGCAACAGAGGAAGAGTTGGGGAAGCAAAAGATAGGGTGTGTATGTGCATGATGGCTTAGCAGAGGCTGAGGAGAAGGCATAATCTGAATCAGACCATCCATAATCAAATACCACGCAGTAGTTTGATAAGTACAAAGGGATGAACAAGAGACTTGATCAGGAATACATCAAAATCAAAACGAAGTAGGAATCAAGAGCAGGAATTCATGAAGCACAAAGCCAGATGACAAAGTGCTCCCAGCAAAGGAAAGTAGTCTTTGTGCAGCTTAAATCCTGTGCAGTAGTGGATCAATCTCAACAACTCACCATTGCCTTGAGATCTCCAGGTCAGTTGACACATCCACATTTTAAGGGACTTATGGAAAGTTAACAGTTGGTGAGGGCCAACCTCACCTTGTGGGGGATGATATTTCACAGGGTGGACGCCACAGCAGAAAAGACCTATATCCTGGGTTATACTAGATGCAACTTCTCAGAAGATAGAACTTGCAACATACTTCTTCTGCCAAATCTGATGGGATTGGCAGATGTAATCAGGAACAAGTGATTCCTCAGATAATCTGGCCCCATGTCTTGAAGGGTTTGTCAAAGGGCTAAAGTCAAAACCAGCACCTTGAATTGGATCTGGAAGTAAACTCTGAACCAATGCAGCTCACAGAGCTGAGGTGTGATATACGTTGTTCTAGGACCACACATAAGTGTCTGTGCTGCTACATTCTGACCGACTGAAGCTTTTAGGTGCTTCTCAAGGGCAGCCTCATGTACAGTGCTTTATAGATCTAAATAGGAGGGTACCAGGGTGTGAGTGACAATGAGCGGAGCCTTCCTATCCAGGAGATGTGCTCTATTTTGTGACTTGGTCTTGGATCATAAATAAAGAGATTATTTTTATACTTAGCATGTTGCTATTTCACTGAAAACAGTCAACTAAATGAATGAGCAAATAATATTCAGTATATAGCATCTCAGATCCAGTTCAGTATTTGACTTATGGATGCTTGCACTAAAGGATTTTTTTTTTTAGGTAGAGCTGATAGAAACCAGTATAAAAACAGCACTGTATGTAGCAAATACCACCAACTCCAGAGAAATCCAAAATCAATTTATTTCCAAATTTTAATTTTAAGCATTTCCATTTGTAACTATCAAATCTAATAATGTTTGACAACTATTGATCAATCATTTTCTTCTTTTTTTAATAGGTCTGATGAAAACAGAATAATGATGCACAAGATTTATTCATTTTTGATCTTCATGGTACTAATATTACCTTCGCTTGGTTTGACTAGGTAAAAGCTATCTTAAATTCTAGCTTTCTGAGTATGAGAGGATTTCTTTTATTTTAATGTTTTTTAAAAATATGCAGCCTTTAAATATCTGAAACAATCTTTGCCATGCCAAAGAAATAATTTCTTTTTCTTCCTAATTATTTTTTCCTCCATTTTTTATGTCCACTTTGCAGTACAAAATTTTCATAAACTATGTAGGAATAATCAGCAGCTTTCTACATTTAAGTGTTTGAGAGGTAGAATTCTTTTCATTTGTTTACCTTATACACATTTTGGTCTATGTCTATTGTTTTTATATCTATGTTTTCTGGATGGCTGAAATCCAGAATTGCCCACAGGGTTGCCTTTTTGTTCTACAGCTTTCCCACACCTTAGAAATCTTCTCTGGGAGAAATATAGTGAGTGGGCAAATTCATTCATAAACATTTAGGTTCTGTTTACGGAACTATAGCAACATAACCATCTGACATTTCATCTAATATTTTTTTTTCCCTCTTTTCCAGGGATACAGATATAGGGACAGGGGAATCATTTCTAAACACTCATGGCATTTCAAAAGTCGCTGTTAGTTCTGATGCAGTGAGCCTTCAGCCCTAATTGATTTTTTTGCCATGTCCATCTTGGGGAGGGAAGTGGGTTGGTCTGCCGTTATTTTTACTTTTTACACCATCTGAATAATTTCACCAAGAGCAGAATTTCATTGGATTTTATCCAAAACCCTTTCCTATTTTTATTTTATTTTAAAATTAAAGACATTTTAATTTATTTTCATTGACTGAAAAATTCAAATCAAACACGATACAGGTAGTTCTCTGTTGTAAAGCACAATTATTACATGGTTGTGTTGCTTAGTGATAGCAGTTTTGGCAGTCCCAATTGCTGCTGTTAACCATCATGAGTGGTTGTCATATGCTCATCACTTGCAACTTCTTGCTGGTTTTCCCAATGACTTTACTTATTGGAAATCAACAAAGGTTGCAAATAGTGACCAAAGAATATTGTGATGGCTGAAATTCTGAGGACCAGTAAGTACCACTCATTCAGTGCTGTCAGATGTTTGAATAACGGCTGAATGAATGGTTGTTAAACATGGACCATCTGTAGCTTGGGTTTTTTTTATAACTTTTATGCTTTCATAATAAGTGTGGTGATAGTAACATATGACAATGAAATTATATGCAAGACAATTAAAACTATTACATTTGTTGTACTTAATTTTTCTCTTCTATTTGATGTTGTAATAAATTGAAGAAATTAACACCAAATATTTCTTTCAGTCTGGATTTCTTCTTTCGCTGGGTATTTGATAACGCATCTGAATCTAAAATTAGATTAGAGTAAGTATCTAAAAATAAGCTTTCATCCTTTTGCTAACTGGCCCAGAATATGCACGTGTCTTTAACTACTATTTTACTTATTAATCATAAATTGGAACCACCTAGTGGGAAGCCACAGATTCTTATGTGATGATTTGTTTGTCTTGGGAAATGATTTTGAATAAGTAGGAAACATTGCTCTTTGTGTCTTCAGAAGCACTGTTCCCCAAAAGCGTGTGACCTAAAATTATTCCATTGAAAAGGGAGGCATTGTGAAGTCAAAGAGCTGTATAAGCCCTGTATGGCTTTTATGCAATATAAGAAAGACTGTTATAGCTTTCTAAAAATTAAAATACCTCTTAAACATATCCTAAAACCCCGGAAAAGCTGGAGGAATCCACGTTTATACGTTGTCTCTTCTACTTAGAAACATTGTTCCAGTCACTGCAGCCTTTCTGTTTTAGTGCAGCCCTTGGCTCCAAAAACATCACTCACAGCAATCTATCAGAGATGTTCAAAGCTCAAGCACTGAAGTCTTCACAAGGGATTTATGTTTGAGAAAAATCATGGTATGACTTTGGGCTGATCATTCTGCCTCAACCAAGTCTATCTCAGCCTGTGGGGAAAATTGGAGAAAGGGCTGCTATGTGAATGAGACATCAGTGTAATTAAACAATAGATTTTATTTTGGGGAAATGTTGTATCTCCTTTTCTATGATGTTCACCCTTAACTGATATCTTTTAGAATATATTTCATGAGAGCTACTGACTCCTCAGAATAAGTCAGGGCAACTTTTTTGAGGAGGCATGAGTGGGAAGGAGAAAAATAGTTAGATTAAGCCTTACAAAAGCAAAACAGATACTTTAAGCCTCTGCAAATCTCATTCACAGCAGAAAAGCAAAGTATATCCCCCAGATTGAAAAAAATGCTTTGTTTTTCCCAAGTTTGTCTCAGAACTTCCTTTGTCCTCAAGAGTAATTTGCAGTATTTTTAAAGTTCATCAGTTTTTTGTATTTTAAAATTCTTCCAGTTGTCTTAAAATAAAAGAGTATATGGCAAAACCGTGGGCATATGAACATCTAAGTCGATACCGATCCCTGTTTTCACTGCTTCCATTCAAGACAGATGTCCAAGAGAGAAAGAAAATGCTCACTGTTCACCATGGTATCCAGATGGGTGAAATGAGATTGCATGCCTATTTTTTCATTGCAGATGTGTATTTTTGCCTGATCAGGGAGCTTTCTTTGTGAACTATGTAATTGCATCAGCTTTTATTGGCAATGGAACACAACTGTTGCGTTTCCCAGGCCTTATTATGTACACCATTCGCATGATGATGGCCAAATCTTCTGCTGAGAGAAGAAATGTTAAGCAGGTATCAAATCTTTCTATCATATAATACATGTTATATTTAATTCTTCCATTGGAGTGTTTTACATCTCTGCCCATTGGTTGCTGCCCTTCATTCTGAGACTCTTTGGCCTCTTATTAGTGCATGAAACATCACTACTTATCATGAAAGTTTCTTACCTTTGCTGAATAGAAGGTATCCTTTATTGAATTTGTTCTTTCCACTTAAATCAGAAGACAGAGCTTTATATATAGTTATGGCAGGATGCATTAGTTCGCAAAAGTAGGCCTGAAACTCAACATTAAGAAAACCAAAATCATGGCATCCGGCCCTCTCAATTCTTGGCAAATAGATGGGGAAGAAATTGAGGTAGTGACAGATTTTATTTTTCTGGGCTCCAAGATCATCTCAGATGGGGACTGCAGCCAAGAAATTAAAAGACGCTTGCTCCTGGGGAGGAAAGCTATGGCAAATCTAGAGAGCATACTAAAAAGCAGAGACATCACCCTGCCAACAAAAGGGCATATAGTCCAGACCATGGTTTTCCCAGTTGCAATATATGGCTGTGAAAGTTGGACCATAAGAAAGGCTGAGCGCCAAAGAATTGAGGTCTTTGAACTATGGTGCTGGAGAAGACTCCTGTGAGTCCCTTGGACTGCAAGGCGTTCAAACCGGTCAGTCCTAGAAGAGATCAACCCCGACTGCTCTTTAGAAGGCCAGATCCTGAAGTTGAAACTCAAATACTTTGGCCACCTAATGATAAGGAAGGACTCACTGGAGAAGGGCCTAATGCTGGGAAAGATTGAGGGCAATAGAAGAAGGGGACGACAGAGAATGAGATGGCTGGATGGAGTCACTGAAGCAGTAGGTGTGAACTTAAATGGACTCCAGAAGATGGTAGAGGACAGGAAGACTTGGAGGAACGTTGTCTATGGGGTTGTGATGGGTCGGACACGACTTCGCAATTAACAACAAAAATGTCACCTAAAGACAGAAAAATGAATGTCAACAACAGTAACCTACTCAGAGAAATAACATATAATGATATATATTCCTCTGCCTTCCATACCATAAGCAAAACTTAGCTCAAGGACGGTTGGATGCCAACCATCCACTGTAGAAAGGAAATTGTATGATAAATACTAACATTTCACTTTCCTCTAATGGTGGAGGTTACCCTTCACAGCAAGCAAACCAGACTGGTCTCCATATTTACCATGGGAGAGGAACATGCTGAATGTGACATGCAGCTAGAAGGAAGGAACCATCCCTTTAGACATCTTCCCACAGAAAAAGGCTTGAGCTAAAGCAAAAGTAACTAATTGTACAGAAAAATTAAGAAATATACAGACAATATGGCCATCCTGAATATCACCTCTCAATGACATATTGCTGTCCTGACAGAATGGTCTGATTAGCCATCTTCTTAGAATCAGCAGTGGCCATGTGTGGAATAGTAGCCCACTGAGATTCATATGCCAAAGATAAGTAATTTACCTGGAAATAGGGAGTATGTCTGAGCCTATCCACTGTATTATTGTCAAATTTTACAGTGAAGGGTTCCAGATGCTATGTGCCATTTTCTTGGATGATGAGCTTCTTAGCCGTTACCTGCAGAATGTTTAATTGGTTCTTCAAGAGCCTCAAGCGTATAGCTGGAGTATAGCCACCATCAAAGAGATATCTTTACCACCATTGGGGTTTTCCTGAGCAATGATGGCCTAATAAATTTAGGAAATGAGGGAGTCAGTCTTTGCCCATGAAATGGTATCTGTGCAAGCAATGTTTAGTCCTTAAAGTCTGGGAATATTACAATGTGTACAAAATTTTCCCATATAAGAGATTGAAATTTTCATTACCAGCCCAGATTTTTGTGTATAATTATATAGGTGAATTGATTGTTTCTGGTGTTGTTATATATCTACAAAAATCAGTGTCCTTAGAAATTTATGTGAATTATTTTCATGTTTAATGTATTTTGATTTCCTTGTAGCAACAAGCTTATCAATTTGAATTTGGAGCAATGTATGCTGGGATGTTATGTGTATTCACGGTCATCATGGCATACAGTATTACATGTCCTATTATTGTCCCATTTGGTAAGTTGATAAATGAGTTGGGATTGTATTTTGGGGTAGACTGAAGTGCCAGATACTTGGCTTGGGATTAACATTGAAATGAATGCATAAGTTAGTTAATACTTGTATGCTTTTGTTTTTGATGAAGTGAATATTTCATTGCATAGATGCTTAAAAAAGCTGTTTAGTCTAAGTTAGTAGGAAGCCTTGAAAAAAACAAAAAGAGTTATAGGGCATCAAATCTATATAAGAGAAATTGAATGAGTCACCTGCTTACTAATATCTATGAATCTGAAGCCATATCTAGTAGTTCCATTGATAGAAAAAGTGTCAATTATCATTTTACATTTAACATTTATGTTTTAAGTGATCTGAAAAAAGTTGGGGGTTTTAAATATTCAACAATAACATTTGGTGGTGCAGTGTTAGAATTCAGTATTGCAGGCAATCTGCCCAGAACCTGGAGTTCGATTTTGACAGGGCTCGAGGTTGAGTCAGTCTTTCTTCCTTCCAGGGTCAGTAAAATGAGCACCCAGATTGTTGGGGGCAATATGTTGACTCTGTAAACTGTGTCCAGAGAGTGCTATAAAGCACTTTGGGGCGGTATGTAAGTCTAAGCGCTATTGCTTTTGCTATTGCTATATATCCAGTTGTGTTCTCCTGCTGATGTTTTTTTTCTCCTTCATGCATGCCTCCATCTTCTGTAAATCTGGGTACATAAGAATGTGAGGTAGAAATCTACTGAAGTAATATTGGGCATAGACTAAAAAAAGCAAGCCAGGATTTTAAAGAAAGAATCTAGATTGTTCATTTCACATTTCTGAAAAAAAAAATTAAATAGCATTACAGCATATTACAGTAATGGTGAGCCTATGACATGCGTGTCAAAAGTCTCATGCCACAACTTTTTGGGTGACATGCCAGTGTTTATCAACATCCAACAACAGCTATTCTAGACATCGTACCCCGTTCTTGTGTTGTTTTTAAAGGCTCTAGAGACTGCGCAATTTCCAGAGGCCACAGAAGAGCACACCCGATTTTCACATAGCTTCTGCAGTCAACAAAAATTGATTTTTGGAGGCTGCTGAGACCATGTGAGAATGGGGACCTACAAGAAGTCATGCAACCTCCAGAGCCTCCAAAAATAGTGCAGGAACAGGGCATGCTTTTGCACAATTTTCAAAGGCTGCAGAGGCCACACAAAATTGAGCTGTGCTCTCACATGGCTTTTGGAAGCCACACAAGGAGGCTGTGCTCTTGCACAGCTTCTGAAGCCTCCAAAAATTGCTTGAGAATTGGATGTGCTTTTGTGAGGTTTGGGGGAGGCTGCGGAAGCCACAGAAAAATATTCCTTGAAGCTGCTTCAAGAACGAAGGCCTGTGTGAGCCTGAGCTGCCTTGCGTAGGCCACAGGGGCCTGTCAACAGAAAGAGAACTTCACCTGAATGTAAGTGGCGCACAGCAGATTCTAAGAATCACATACATGATTGGAGAGTAATTTTTAAAATTAATATGTAAAGAATTGCTTCCCTTTTGTTCAAGGGTAGGGAAGTGACACACCAGCAGAGTCAACTTAGCCATTTTCTGAATTTTTCACATACCAAGCCCAAAAAATTCACCATCACTGGCCTATTTAAAGAAATAGCATTTTAAAAAAGAAATTGAAGATATCTTGTAGATTTTAGATAATAACTGTAATGTAAGTACAGATGTCTGTTATGGCTACTGCTTATAATTAGAAAATAAATCCAGAAACCACACTTTGTGTGTTTTTCCTACCTTGTTTCCCCTCCCCCCCCCCAAGAACACAGGCTTTGGAAGGCAAAAAATGCCTTTTTTAAGTGCTAATAAATTGAATTTGCCTTTTTATACCTTTAGTGTATTATATTCGTGCACTCATCTTTCATACCCATACTCAGAACATCTCAACAGCATGCCATAGATAATGGGAACATATATCCAAAAGCTGTCTGTAATGCTTGTGTAGGTAGTGGGGAAAGATACCCATGGTGTCAGTTTTTTGCATTAGTTGTTAAATTACCGTTCAACATTGTGGACTATTTATGTGCAATATATTGAGTTTTAAATAGTAATATGTGTTAAGAAAACAAGACAATGTTATAACCATTAATTATACCTTTATATTTTTGAGACTTATTTTGTCACTGGGAGTGAAAGTTGATTTGAGGGAATCTTTTGGATGTTGATAGAAATTTTTGCTAAACTTTTTAATAGTCCTTCTTAGTAATTCTGTCGTATTTTTCTTATTTTCAGGGTTAATTTATCTATTGCTGAAACATACAGTTGATCGCTACAACCTCTATTATGCATACCTTCCTACTAAACTAGAGAAGCAGATTCATATTGCAGCCGTGAGTCAGGCATTAGCAGCTCCCATCCTCTGCCTTTTCTGGCTGTTTTTCTTCTCATTTTTAAGATTAGGTAAATATCTGTGGTCCTTGAAAAAGAATGCAGACATTGCAGCAGATAAATATGTTTCATTGTTTATCATGGGTGTTCTGTGAATCCGTTGATATGCATTTGGATAAGAGAACAATACCATAAAATGTAAAGATTCAGGAGTAACCAAAGGGCTGGTCTTTTGTTTCTGTGGTCCTTGAAGTCAATGCAGGAGCAAGTCCATGTAGGTTTTCTGGCAACATTTTTTCGGAAATGGCTTGCCAATACCTTCTGCATAGAGGTAGCACAAGATAGAGATGGGTGAGCAACTCTTTGAGTGTATGTTCTCCATTTTTGCCTTTTATTGTAGTAGTTTTACTCTCCATTTCTAATTTTTAAATTATTTTTTTAAACTGTACTGTCTGAGAAGTCACCTATCTGGTCCAACCATAACTTAATACTTTTTAATCTGGGATTTAAGAATGGGGAAAAGGAAAAAGAGACAGCGTATCTCCACTTCAACACAGATTTCAACCAAGCCTCTGAAGCAGCAGAAAATGAATGAATACACAATAAATAAGTGGACAACTTCAGTGAGTTAAAAAGGTTACAAAAAGGGCACCTGAGGCCTGCCTGCTAATTATAGGCCTATCACCTCTTAAGTATAGTAAGTTAGCTCTGTGCTAGACATTTATACAACAAACTAATCAATTGGATTGACTTAGAACATTTATTGGCAGAGGAGCAGGTAGGCTTCAGATCTGGATATTCTATTTACAGTAAAGGTTAAAGGTAAAGATTTCCCCATTCCGTCATGTCTGACTCTAGGGGGTGGTGCTCATTTCCATTTCTTAGTCGAGGGAACCAGTGTTGTCTGAATTTCCATGATCATGTGGTCAGCATGACTATACACCAAGGTTCATGGAATGCTGTTACCTTCCCACCGAAATGGTACCTATTTATCTATTTGCATTTGCATGCTTCCAAATTGCTAGGTGGGCAGGAGCTGGGGCAAATAATGGGAGCTTACCCCGTCACACGGCGCTGAGGTCTCGAACCTGGGCTGTCAGCTCTCCAGCTGACAAGCTCAGTGTCTTAACTGCTGAACCATTAGCGCTCCCTTTCTATTTATACACTTATATTTCAACACTCAGTCGAAAAATATATATCCAAACCAAGTTCATTGTATACTGCATTCATTGATTTTAGGTCTGCATTTGCTTCCCAGAGAAAGACTTTGATCTAAGCTTCTGCATACTACCATTGATGGATAGATAATTGTTTTTGCACAATCTTTATAAGAATTCCAGAATCAGCATTCGATGCAGTATGCAAGGCCACTACACCAATGAGAGTCTAAGTTAGAGGGGAGTAAGGCACGGATGCATTTTAGCTCCTCTGCTGTTTAATCTCAATATAAAACTACTTGTGGCCCAAATTAGAACATCACCCCCAAAATTAGATAATAGACATATTGCATCTGTGTTGTATGCAGATGATATAGTTCTTTTATCAAACTCAAATCGGATTTATATGAGCTCTGAATGCTCTGGCTAGCTATTGCTCCAAAGAAATTTTTGAAATCAATTATAGTAAAACTAAGATCATGATCTTTGCAAAAAGACTGAAATTGCATGCCTGGAAGATAAATGGCAGACCATCAAGCAAGTTAAATCCTTTAAATATTTGGGCATGGTTTTCCATAGCTTTACTAAATACAGTACACATCAAAACTATGTTATTCAAGTAATCAAAAAACAGAGGCAGCAGTTGAATCATTTCAGTTCTCCAGAGGAGCACAGTATCTCTTTTTTTTAATATATAAAAAGTTTTTTATTTATAATACAGTTAAAAACAAGGATGGACATAACGTGACATTCCAAAATAAATATTCCTAACAGTTTGTTCCTCTTGATAAATATAATTAATACATAATTCTTGATCTCTATATAAACATATTCTTCTATACAATACAGTTATATATACAGTTATATATAATTCTATCTTAACGCTAATTTAAAACCCGAGCAGTTCTCCTTGATTCACACCAATGATAAAATTTGTCCCAGATCTCAAAATAGTCTGATTCTGTCTTATCCTTCATTTCCATTGTGAGCCTATCCATTTCAGCACACGATAAAATTTTATATATAATCTCTTCTTCTGTTGGAATTCCTTTATTCCTCCAGTTTTGAGCATACACCAATCTAGCAGCCGTGAGAATGTGTAACATCAAATAGAACACTCCTTTGTTGTATTTCTGCGTGGTTATGCCTAGTAAAAAGATTTCTTGTTTTAACTCTACCACTAACTTTAATATTTCTTCCCGCCATTTTTTAAATCTTATTCCAAAAGTCACGGGTTCATGGGCACTCCCACCACATATGATAGTATGTCCCTTTTGCCAATTTACATTTCCAACATTTGGAGGAAACATTTGGACCCATTTTGGCTAATCTTAACAGGTGGGAGATGCTACCTGTAGAATATTTTGTAGAGATTCTCTTTGTAAGAGGTGGCCAGAGTAAGCTTCCTGTTTCTTACCCATAATTCCTGCCAGATGTGCAGATCAAAATTGAGATGAAAATCCCTGCTCCACGTTAACATGGTCTCTTTTACCTGTTCCTCATACATTGCCTGATCTAACAAATAACGATACAGTTTTTTAATCATTTTATCCTCCATGCCTAATAATATTTTGTCCCGCCCAATCGGTTCAAATTTTATACCTAACTCTTTTTTATCTTTCCAATATCTCGCCTGTAATTGAAGGTATGCCCACCATTCTGATTCTATCCCTTCATCTTGAAGGATTTTCTTGGGTTTCAATTCCCCTCTCTCATCTAGGATATTTTTATATGTTATAATCTTTCCCAGTTGGATAAACTTTGGGTGTACACGCATTTCTAATGATGAGATCCAACTGGGAACTTGGGTATAATTTGGTTGCCAGATTTTAACCCATACATCAATTAAAGCTTGTCTGATATAGAGGAGCACAGTATCTCCAGCAGCACTGAAGCTATATTTAGCTAAGGCTGCACAACTGCTCACTGGGATCTTGCTCTTCTTTTACTTCTCTGGAAAGTGTGCAGTCCAAATCCCTGAGAGCCTATATTTCAGGTAGCTCACTGTGTCCCAAATGTACTAAAGAAGGAGGCAGGGTTATCTAAAGCTGAAACAGGTGCATGGATTTACTTTACAGCACATTGGTTAAAATTACTCTTTTCCCCCCACAGGTTTGAGTTCTTTCCTTTTAGAGGACAATTACGAATCAGTATGGTTCAGGACCATCTCCCCAAAACTTCATTATCTTGGCTTCTCTAAGGAAGTGCTCTTAATGATGGGCTACGAGTGTGCACTTAAACCTGTTAAAGACATGGAAGCCCAACAAGAACTTTTTTTTTTTTTAGCAAACTCCTCTTTTCAAAGCAGCGAGATATTTACATTGTATAACTGTCCCCAAACTCCAAAGGGTATTAACTTTAATTGCTGCAATGTACCTCCCAAAGCACTTTTGGAGTGCCAATATAAAACATTCCATGCAAGCTGAGATTGTGCCCCTCTGGACAAGGGTTATCAAAACTGTAGCGCATGTCCTACTATACTGTGCCTTCTGTAAGGACTCAGACCCATCTCATAACACCTCATCTGATAAATATTGGGAAACACTGATCATTTTTATGTACAATTGCTGTTATTGGATCAGTCTGATGTAATTTCTTTGAATGTAGGTAAATTTTGTCTGCAAAATTTGGCAAACTTTGACTGCCCATTGCTCACTAACAATCCATCAGTAATATATATTGCCTTTTTAAAAAAATGCTTTTTGTTTGTAATGCTGATCTGTGACCGTAATAAAAAATATTATTATTACCTAGCATAGTGAGCTTTTGTGCCTTCAACAATTGAAACTAAAGGCAAATACAGAACTATTTGCATTATTGAGTTTCAAGTCTGATGTATTTATTTGTTAATCCATTCAAATGATGGCTACTAGCATGTACTGTCTTCACTCCCCTATGTTACTGCTACAATTGTACCACTGCCTAGTCTATCATGCTTTTAACTTCAAGTTGACAATTTTTTTCTCTCTCTCTCTCTTTTAGGATTTAATGCACCTACAACATTACTTACATTCTTAGTTGTATGCATAACAATTGTTATTTGCATAACATATACCTGTTTTAGCTTGTTCTGGTATCTGACCCCCATGCAATACAAGGTAAATGAATCAAAATTTCATTTAATTTTAAAATAGCTGTATTTTAAATATTAATATAAAACACATAAATGAGGCATCAAAGAAAAGCAGTTTCTATATGTTGATAAATATAGTTATTTGTAGAATTTTAAATATTGTATTGTGCACATATTTTGAAAATTATTTCAATTACCATTCTTTCATTGAAACTTATAGGAAGAAAAATATCTGTCTAGGGATAAAGAAAATAAAACTGATTTTGCACCAGGTCCAAAATCTTCTGTAAGTACAGAATATAAATATTATTACATGGGAAAATAAATATTCTAAGAAAGAGCTTGTGCCTATTAAAGAATTCTGAAGTTATAAAACATTTGCATTAATGATTTCAGTATTAAGAATTTGTGTTCTGAATTCTGACCTATTGACAAAACATTTCTTTGCAGATAAAATGTTATGGGCAACTGAAACAGGTTAAGACAGCTGCTGGCTACATAATAACAGTATATGCCATGCTCAGTTTTGTTAATGTTTCACTTGGCAGTCATACCAATTCTTGATTTGTGTAATATTAGAAAATAGTTACATACACGAACAAGTAGCTAGGTAGATGCCAATGAATCAGATATAACCTCTAGTGACTATACAGTGACAAACACTTGCTATATGTGGTGATAATCCATAGTCCTTGTAAGGAATTTCTTTGATCACTTCATAATCTTCTATCTTATCTACTGTCTGCCACTCAGTTTCCTTCAATGCTGCCAAGTATAGAGTCTTTTTCTAATCTACCATCTGCTTTCATCAAGAACGTTAGTTTCTGCTTGTTGGTTACTGCCCTGAGTCAGTAGTCTTTATTTGCTACTTTCTGCAGTTCATGGGATTTTTACTAGCTGACTCTGGATTTGTAATTCAAAAGTGGCTGTCTTCTTTCTCTTGCTCTTAGTGTCTTTTCCGTAGCTGTACATTAGCACTTGAAAGAATTACTTTTAACTTTAGATTTTTATTATTGTCTTTACATAGTACTTTTTCTGATAGTCCTGCTGTAATTAATAAATAAAAAGTAAATCTCGATACATTTTTCTTTTCTCCATTCTTCATTTTATATTAACTATGTGGTCTCATGTCCATCTACATTTTCTGCAACTGTCCTATTCATTTGGCATTTTTCTCCATCTACAGCTGCATTTATGAGTGCAAGATCAGAAAACTTTGTCTGCCTGAAGAATTAATAAGGCAATCATTTGAATATTCTCTTGCAATCCTACTTCTTCTATCTTCAGAACATAGTTAAATATAACTGGTTTTTTTCCCAATCACTAGGCCACATTGATTTCTTCCATATTTGTTGACATAGACCTGTTGTTACTTTAAAAGGCTTCTTTTGCAGCCAAAAACAGCTCAGTGAATATTTCATCTGCACCTGCTGCTTTCCTATTTCACAATTGGCCTTTTGTTTGCTGCATCTCAGTTTCTATTTTGGCTGGGTTTTGAATATACTTTCTCTCTGCAAGTGCTTTTCATTCATAATTTCTTTCTTAAAAATTTAACTATAGCCATGAGAACCAGTTTGATGTAGTGGTTAAAGCATCAAAGTAGAACATAGGAAACCATGAGTTATTCAGGGCATAAGTGCCTATGTAAAGATGGGGTGGTAGTAATCCTTAAAAAGCATGTAGTTTATATAGTTGGTTAAAACCTATTGAGATGTACAGTATACTTAACTACATCCTTTTTGAGGATCATTATCACCCCATCTCTATATATGGACTTTGTGTTTGGCACTCATGCTTGTCTAAATATTTCAACCATGTCAATACAATTTTGGGACATACAATTGTACAAACTTACTCTAAGTTTGATTCTAGAGTTTCTGCTAGGTGGAATAACTTTCCTCATTTTTGCAGAATCTTACCTGCTCTCATACATGTTATGATCTTAGCTTCACTTCTCCCTTTTCAACCCTTCCAGTGAGCATGATTCTGTCATGTTTCTCCCCACATCACTCTCAGGATTACTGATGCTACTGAGTTCTCCCACCATATCAAGTTGGTAACTTCATGAGATGGAGAAAAATAGGAATAGGGCTTAAATATGTTTGGCTTAAGATTTGTGAGACATAAATGTACATTTAGCCTGTAGAATTGGAGTAATTAAATTTATATATGTGTTTGTTTTATTTCTGTAGACAATGCTTGGAAGTGAAGTACGGAGTGAGTTAAGATTAAAATCTTAGGTAATTTAGAATTATAATTGCCTTCTTTAATTATGTAAAAACTTTTTACCATTCCAGATCTATGTTCCTCGTGTTCTGCAGCATGTTTCTACCGAAAAAAGTGTCTTATCTTCTACAGGTCAGATATCCTATGGAGCTATATCAGGAATAGACACAATGGGGAAAGAAGATGTGATCTGTGTCTCTTATGCTGAGGAATCAGGTGTTGAAGAGATGTGAAAAATGTGTGTCTTGGTATCATGGACTAACACAAGATGGCACACTTAGCCGTTTCAAAAGAGCAGATTTCACAAATGGATTCCTGTGTTGTAGCGCATTTTTGTTGAGAAACATTACCTCTTCATGTAAAGGACCAGAATTTATGAAGCTACATTCAGGGAGTTTCACAAAGACACTATCTTGGAAGTAGGTAATTTTTATGGGTAATCACTTCTGTTATGCTTTGCACGCTGAATAAGAATGCTTAGAAAACAAATTTGAGCATATTTAATTATTTGCCTTTATAGAAATATTTATGGGCAAGTGCCAGAGCACTGGTTGCTAAACACTTGAGGATTTATAACTGAAGGAACATCTGTTTCTATTAAATGTAGAAAAAACGGGTAAATTATAAGCTGGGGAGTATTCTGATTTCCTTCTGTTAACCCCATAGCTTATCAAATCAAAAGTATTTTCTTTCTTGTAAAAGAATTTTTCTACAAAAAGTAGAGAAAATATGTGTCAAAACCTAAATGACTTGGAAATGACAGACTATATGTGGCTGAGAACTGTTATTTATGGGACTACTTAAGTTAATTTTCTAGTCACAGTTTTAAGGGCCTCACATAAAAGAAGCTAACGTGTCAAACAATAAAGGATGTAAACATTTTATTATTTTTAATCTCTAAGGTTTATTTTTTTAAGAATCTTTAAATCTGCTAAAGTATCACAAATATGTTACACTGTTTCTGAATTATGAGATAGATAAATTTTTTGGAAGAAGTAATGTTAAATTTAAATGTAATTAAACAATCACTTTCAATAAAAAACTGAATTCAAATGCACATTTATCATTGCTCTTATTGAATTTTGAAACTAGCTTTTATAAAATATTACCAAAATGTACATTGTTGAGATTGACTCCAGAGGTGTTCATGGACGTATCCCGTAAGTTTTGGGTAACAATATGGAAATTATGTATTTTTACCTTCTTTCAGGATTTTGGAGATGAGGGACATTAGGAGTTTCTGTACTATGGACTTTTAATTTTGTAAGCTACCTGGAGTCACCATTTGTGAGTTGAGCAGTCACATAAATATGTTTAATAAAAAATAAAATTCATATTGAACACAGGATTAACAGCACAATGCAATTTATATAGTATTTATTTATATTTATTTATTTGTTAAATGTATGTGCTGCCCATCTCACACTAGGTGGCTTACAACAATAAGACAGAAAAGGAAAATGATTAACCCAAAGCCACTCAGCCTTGCCAGGGTTCAATCATAGCCCATTGCTATTCATCCAGGCCCTTACAACCTCCAGGCACTGATTATAGAGTATATAGTATACTCTATTTCTCTCTGGAAAAATGATTTTTATGAACTTTTCCAATTCCATTTTATGGTCATCTAAGTTACTGACCATCCCAATATCTTGTGGTAATAAATTTCACAGCCTACCTATGTACTGTGTGGAACAAGGGTTTCTGTTGTTCGGCTTGATTGATGACACCTGGTCTGAGTATTAGAGCAAAGGAAAAAAATCTCCCTGTTCTCTCTTTCCACACTAAGCAATATTTCATACATGCAGACATCAGTCTTCCTTTAGCCTTTTGTTCCAAAAATAGGAATCTGAACATTCTAGACTTTTCTGATAGGGAAGGGGTTCAAGTGGACCAGAGGAATGCTGTGGATATAATTTACTTGAACTTCAGTAAGGTATTTGATAAAGTAGATCACAACCTATTACTTGATAAGATAGAAAAATGTGGGTTAGACAGGATCACCACCAGATGGATTCATAGCTGGCTGACTGGCCGTACTCAGCATGTGGTCCTCAATGGAACTGCATTTACATGGAGGGAAGTGTGTAGTGGGGTGCCCCAAGGCTCTGTTCTAGGCCCAGTGCTCTTCAACATATTCATCAACAATTTTGACGAGGGGATAGATGGGGAACTCATCAGATTTGCAGACGACACCAAGCTGGCAGGAATAGCCAACACTCCAGAAGACAGGCTTAAGATACAGGAGGATCTGGGCAGACTTGAACACTGAGCGCTATCTAACAAAATGAAATTCTATGGTGGAAAAAGTAAGATTCTACATTTAGGCAAGAAAAACCAAATGTACAGGTATAGTATAGGTTGTACCTTGCTCAATAGCAGTAACTGTGAGAGGGATCACATAAATATGAGCCAGCAGTGTGCTGCAGCTGCCAGAAAAGCCAGCAGTGCTAGGCTGCATTAACAGGGATAGAATCAAGAACATGTGAAGTATTAATACCACTTTACAATGCCTTGGTAAGGCCACACTTGGAGTACTGCATCCAGTTTTGTTCGTCACGATGTAAAAAAGATGTTGAGACTCTAGAAAGACTACAGAGAAGAGCAACAAGGATGATTAGGGGACTGCAGGCTAAAACATAATAAGGAATGGTTGTTGCAATTGGGAATATCTAGTTTAATGAAGAGACGGACGAGGGGGGATATGATAGCAGTGCTCCAATATCTCAGGGGCTGTCACAAAGAAGAGGGAGTCAAGCTATTCTCCAAAGCGCCTGAAGGAGGGAAGCAACCTAGAAGTAAGGAGAAACTTAGTTAGAACAATTAACCAGTGGAACAACCTGCCTCCAGAAGCAGTGAATGCTCCAACACTGGAAGTTTTTAAGAGACTGGATAGCCATTTGTATAATAATAATAATAATATTAGTCAATTGCAAAAGGCGGCCTTGCTAGGAACTGCTTCCATCCTGCGACGATACCTGTAATACCATCAAACATCCACATCTGCCTATCCCAGGTCCTGGGTAAGGACTCGATAGGTAGACAAAATGCCAAATCCAGTCTGAACATCTGGCTGACTGTGCGATGATTAATAATAATAATAATTCCTCAGGAAGAACAAAACCCTCTAACTAAAGAAATAAAAGAACTGAAACAAAGAATAACTGAGCATCTAGAACAGCACAAAAACAACAGAATAAGGCTGCCTGCATTGAAGCTTGTTCCAAAAAAACAGCTAGCACAAGCATTAAAAGATACAAATACTGCAATATCAAGTATAAGCACCAATTCACTGCAAGAAAAAAACCAACTAATGTACAGCACAGCTGCAGTTATAACTGAATACCTGGGATGCAAAATCAACAAAAAAGAAAAACAAACAGTGCACCACAAAAATGGAAGGTTAGACTAGAAAATAAGATCAGCAAGTTAAGATCACATGCAAGCAAGCTAGAACAGATGAAAGAAAAGAAGCTGAAGAACAAGAAGACCAAAGAATACCTAATCAAGAAATACCACTTAGAAACAAGGAAGATCAAGGAAGCACTGGAAATAATAAAACAACAAATAACAGCTATAGCCAGGAAAATCAGTAGATATGAAGCTCGAATTGCAAACTATAGGCAGAACCTCCAATTTCAATCCAATCAGAAACGTTTCTACAAATCCATCAATGGAGAAACTGCAAGGAATCAGTCAGTACCTGACAAGGAAGAAACAGTGTAGTTCTGGAAGCAGATATGGGATAACCCAAAGAAATACAACAAGGATGAGGCTTGGTTAAAAGAGGTGGATGCAAATAAAACAGAAGTTGAAATGAAAGAACTAGTAATAACAACAAAAATGGTAGAAAAAAGAGCAAGGAAAATCAAAAACTGGTCAGCACCAGGTGAAGATGAACTGCATGGGTTTTGGTTGAAACATCTAACTGTTATACACCCACTCATTGCCAAGCAGTTCAACAATATACTACAAGGAGGAGAAATTGAAAAGTGGCTAACAACTGGGAAAACCTACCTAATAATGAAAAATCCAGCAAAAGGGGCAACACCAGGTAACTACAGGCCAATTACCTGCTTACCAACAACTTTCAAATTACTAACTGGTGTAGTAGCTGATGCAGTGCAACAGCATCTAGTTGAAAACAATCTCTTTCCACCTGAGCAGAAAGGAAACCGCCCCAATAGCAGAGGAACAAAAGATCAACTCCTAATAGACAAAATGATCTTGAAAAACTGCAAGAGAAGGAAGACCAACCTGAATGTGGCATGGATTGACTACAAAAAGGCATTTGACTCTCTGCCACATGATTGGATAATAAAGTGCCTAGAAATAACAGGAGTCAGTAGAAACATCAGAAAATTTGTGCAAAGATCGATGGCACAATGGAAGACACAGTTGCAGATCAATGGTGAGAGACTGGGAGAGGTTAATATCAAGAGAGGAATATTTCAAGGAGATTCATTGTCACCATTACTATTTGTTATTGCACTGTTTCCTCTGTCAACAATACTGAATAACTCAGGACATGGCTATCAAACATCAAAAACATCTACCAGACTATCCCACCTCCTTTACATGGATGATCTGAAGCTGTATGGAAAAACATCATCTGAAATAGAATCGCTGCTCAACACTGTATATATAGCCAAGATATTGTTATGGAGTTTGGCTTGGACAAATGTGCCATACTTACTATCAAACAAGGAAAAAGTAGTGAAAACTGAAGGAATCAAGATGCCCCACGAAAATAACATTAAGAGTCTGGATGAGGAAGAGTACTACAAATACTTGGGTATCCTTTGACAACATCAAGCACACTGAAGTCAAGAAAAAGATTAGAGGTGAATACATCAAGAGAGTGAAGAAGATCTTAAAGTCCAAACTCAATGGAGGAAATACCATAAAGGCAATCAACACCTGGGCAATCCCAGTCATTAGGTACACAGCTGGAATAGTGGACTGGACTCAAGCAGAACTAAAAGCAATGGATAGGAAGACCAGAAAAATAATGACAATGAATCATGCCCTTCATCCACATTGACAGTGACATTGACAGACTTTATCTACCAAGGCAAATAGGTGGGCGTGGAATGCTACAAATACATCAGATGGTTGAAGAAGAAAAAATGGCTTTGGAAGAATATCTGAAGAACAATGATGAAGATGCACTGAAATTAATATATCAGGAAGGCTTACTGACTACTGAAGAGACCAAACTGGCCTACAAGAAAGACCAAATGAAGAACAGAATAGAAGCATGGGAAGACAAAGCACTGCATGGCCAATACATTAAAAAAATAGCTGGGAAAGCAGATATTAACAAGACCTGGCAATGGCTAAGAGCTGGAAAATTGAAGAAAGAGACCGAGGGACTAATTCTGGCTGCACAAGACCAAGCCTTAAGGACAAATGCATATAAAGTCAAAATTGAGAAGACAGCAACAGACAGTAAGTGCCGCCTATGCAAAGAAGCTGAAGAAACAGTGGACCACCTGGTAAGCTGTTGCAAGAAGATTGCACAGACTGACTACAAGCAGCGGCATGACAAAGTAGCAACAATGGTGCATTGGAAGATCTGCAAAAAATATCATTTGCCTGTAAGCAAAAACTGGTGGGATCATAAAATAGAGAAAGTCATAGAAAATGATAAAATTAAACTGCTCTGGGACTTCAGAATTCAAACAGACAAGCACCTGCAACATAACACCCCAGACTTAACAATTGTCGATAAGAAAGACAAAAAAGTCTGGATAGTGGACGTGGCAGTGCCTGGAGACAGCAGAATAGACAAGAAAGAACTGGAGAAGATAACAAAATACAAAGACCTACAAATAGAAATAGAAAGACTGTGGCAAAAACAAGCAAGGGTAGTACCAATAGTAATAGGCTCCTTGGGTGCAATCCCAAAACAACTGGAGCACCACTTGAACTCCATTGGCATTGACAAATTCGCTATTAGTCAATTGCAAAAAGCGGCCTTACTAGGAACTGCTTCCATCCTGCAACGATATCTGTAATACCATCAAACATCCACATCTGCCTATCCCAGGTCCT